AACTACAATTTCAATTGAATCAGATTAAGTGATATTATTGGATTTAGAAAGTTAGTTAAGATTGTTACAGTAACATTTTTGGTAATATTAGTCTTTAGGTATGGATGACTTATTAACCGAATGATATTTGAAGGATTAACACTAATCGATTTGACAGTTTCTGTCATTTGTTCTCGTTATTTTTGTTTATATTTTGATTCAAATATTTTCTATACAGGGTGGTCCAAACTGTATTCCGGAAACTTCGGTTGTATGTATGTTCTAAAATTCTTAGTTTTGGAGAAACAGGGTGTAGAAGTTTTATTTTTATTTCGATTTTTTCCATATCGTTTCAGAAGTAACGTCAATATTTGGATAAAAATTGGTGTCTGGGAGTTCTTTGACATGGGAAATTTGATTTTGATTTCAAAAATGCTTAATCTGAGAACAATATGTCGGGAGTACCTATTTTACTAACCAAATTTAAAATTTCCTTTTTGAGATTAGTTGAAAGTAGTACCACCTTAATTTTGCTACTACCACCCAAAAAAAAACTACTACCACCTTAACTTTGCTACTACCACCCAAAAATAAATTACTACTACCTTAATTTTGCTACTACCACCTTAACTTTGCTACTACCACCCAAAAATAGACTACTACCACCTTAACTTTGCTACTACCACCCAAAAATAAACTACTACCGCCTTAACTTTGCTACTACCACTCAAAAATAAATTACTACCATATTAATTTTGCTACTACCACCAAAAAATAGACTACTACCACTTTAATTTTCCTAGTATTGCAGTGGTAGTAGTTTATTTTTGGGTGGAAGTAGCAAAATTAAAGTGGTAGTAGTTTATTTTTGGGTGGTAGTAATTTATTTTTGGGTGATAGTAGCAAAATTAAAGTGGTACCCAAAAATAAACTACAATTCACCACCTTAATTTTGCTATCACCACCTTAATTTTGCTACTACCACCAAAAAATAGACTACTACCACTTTAATTTTGCTACTTCCACCCAAAAATAAACTACTACCACTGCAATACTAGGAAAATTAAAGTGGTAGTAGTTTATTTTTGTGTGGTAGTAATTTATTTTTGGGTGATAGTAGCAAAATTAAAGTGGTAGTAGTCTATTTTTGGGTGGTAGTAGCAAAATTAAAGTGGTAGTAGTTTATGTTTTGGTGGTAGTAGCAAAATTAAAGTGGTAGTATTTTACTTTTGAGTGGTAGTAGCAAAATTAAGGTGGTAGTAGTTTATTTTTGTGTGGTAGTAATTTATTTTTGGGTGATAGTAGCAAAATTAAAGTGGTAGTAGTCTATTTTTTGGTGGTAGTAGCAAAATTAAACATCAAAATCAAATTTACCATGTCAAAAAACTTCCAGACACACATTTTCATCCAAATATTGACGTTACTCAGGATTTATTTGGAAAAAAATCGAAATAAAAATCAAACTTCTACACCCTGAATCTCCGAAACTAATCAATACAATTGAGCATTTTTTAGGCATGAACTTTTTTACTTACTTTTATCTGCAGAATATGCCGCCCATGTTTCCGGAATACAGTTCGACCACCCTGTATATGTATATTCTAATATTGGAAATATAGCCAGTTATAATATATCCTCTTGATCTACAACCAAGATACAGAGGGGTTAAAAGTGCAGTGAATTTTTTCGAGAAAAGGATGATGGTACGGCTGTTCTCGACTTATATCACTATTGTTTTATATTTTAAACAAATGGTTTTTTAAACAATACAACAGATAACTGAGATTAATTATGCAAATTATTATTTAACAAAAATATTTATAAAGTGGAAAACTAAACAGAAATTAAAAATTATTGTTTAACCAAACGCCAATAACAACGCTGTAGAATGTTGGGTTTCCATTTGATAGCAGCTTCTTTGACATAAACATATTAAAAACAATAACAATTGGATTATTAACGTTTATTATTAACTGGGTTTAACAAATTTAATAAAAATTCAGAGACCACGACGAAATAAAGTTTATATTTTTGAGTTACAATAAAACTCAAAAAAAATTGCGCTTGCTTTTATTTCTTTTTATTTTCTCCAGCCATTTGTGTGATGATAAAACTCCGTTTCCCCCCTTTTGACAGTTTGACAATTATTAATCTCTTCCAGCTTGTGTTTTATCAGTAATTTTGTATTTGATCCTGTTTTGCACCACGTTCACTGCATCGTTTCCCACCTAATTCACGTTTTTAGACAGTATTTTATCGATTTCAGCTACGTTTTTTTTATAATTTGTCTATCGATTTGTCTTAGTCCTAAGTTGTACATAAGCAGAGCATTGTCGAAATGTATATAGGCAAAGCAAGAAATGCACAAAAGTGTTTTTTTTACTGAATAATTCTTCAAAATCGAATTGTCCACTTGAAGCAACCTAAAGAATTCTAAGTTTATTGCAAAACAGTCACTAAAAGCTCCAGAAAATTTGTCATAGTGGCCTTTCTTTGAATGCAATAGAAGTTTGTTTCTGTCGATACAAACCAATTTTCAAAAAATAACTTTAACTATGATAATTTTAACTTCAATTCATTTAAATATTGATATTTCACAATTTTTTTTCTCTACAAACGATTTCCTCCCTATACAGAAATTATCAACGAAGATTATTTCAAAGACCACCATGACATTATTTTTTTTTTACTGTATTTGTAAATATACTCAGATGCAAAAAACCGCAACGGAGAAATTTTTGGTCAAATTTGATCAAAAATTGACTTTTTATCCAAAAAACAAAATGCTCAGGAGATAAATAAATCATGAAAATAGGGCCAAAAATAACAAAAATATAACTTATTTGAATTTGACCAAAAATTTCTCTGTTGCATTTTTTTGCATCTCAGTGTATTTTTTAGAAACTCGCTATTACAAAGAATACGTGGAATAATGTACCATACGATCGAAAAAAAACGGCGTCAAAGAAGGCTGTGGAATGACAATCGATATTTTCGGCGAGGTCAAGCCCTCGACGTCATTTACTAGGCCCGTACACTTTTTTATTTTCTAATGGCGTTTACTGCCTTTATTAATGTTAATTTTTGTCAAGTTTTATGACAATTGTTATAGTAAATAATATCTAGAGTTTGACCTGGCCAAAATTATCATCGATTGTCATTTCCCGGCCGTTTTTGACGCCGTTTTTTTTTTCTCGATCTTACGGTATTTAGTCAACTATGTAATAAACTAGCAGAGAACTTGATTTTCAAGAAAAAAAAAACACTTTTAACAGGCACCTATGATTTCGTAATTGTAGTATACTTTTTGCCACTTTTTTTCTAATTTTTAGGATATTGTTTACTTTTTTGTACATACTTTTATTAGTTCAAGCCCAGAAAGAATCAGAACAAGTACTGGGGAATATCCTTGCAGAACATTTTCAGTATTACACGATATTCTCATTACAACGAATGGACCAAATAAGCAAAAATATACAAAAGTATACACTGTGGTTCTAAAATATCCATAGTATCATAATATTTATACTGTAATATACCGTAACTTTTTTTATTTTTTAGATAAAAAACGAGATTTGGTATATTAGTATATGACATAAATTAGGATTGATTGACGTATACAACTGTTTTCGGTTTTCGGTCACTTCCTGTTTCACCGGAAATGACTGCAACTTTTAGTTTTTAAATTACACCCCCGATATATTTTTACTTTATTCAATAGAAAATGACACACTGAATATAATGATATCATATGTCAATTTTGGCATTTTTGCATATGGTTTATGTGAAATTATAAGTTGCGGTTCGTAACGAAAATTTGACTCGAAATACCAAGTGTGTGGTACCAAATTATTGGTACCAAATATGCTAAAGAGCCACAATCGTTCCATTTGAAAAAAATTGAGATATGATTAAAAATACGATTTGGGCATCTTTTAACCGCCCGGAACAAGACACGAAAAACATTAGACGATCTAATTTATTTTTCAAAGGCTCCTTGATTAAAAATTAGTGTTTTTAACACAGCCTTGAAATTTAAAATACAATTTTTTTAAGCGTTAATGTCAAAACTTGACATATGATATGTCATTCTATTCAGAGTGTCATTTTGTATCAAATAAAGAAAAATATACTGAGGAGCCATTTAAAAATGAAAATCTATAGTCATTTTCGGTGAAACAGGAAGTGACCGAAAACAATCGAATACACCAATCAATCCTAATTTATGTCATATATTAGAATACAAAATCTCGTTTTTTTATCTGAAAAAATAAAAAAGTTATAGGGGGTGAGCCACTTTTGAGACCCGGTATACGGATGGTATAGAGAGAAGTGGATATAAACTGTAAATTTAAAAAATGTTATGGATAACTGTAAAATTAAAAACATCCATGTTACATGTTGATTCAAAATTGTTTTAAAGTTTAATGATTTGTTAAGCAATTTTTGTATCAGATGTTAAAACTGTGTAAAAATATATCAAATATAGTAAGTCAGATTCTTTCTGGACAACTTAAAGTTTTATATTCATGTCACATTTTTATAAATATTTTTTCATAATATTGTTTTTAAATGTTGTATAGTAACATATTTTCCATGTTAAACAATATCCTGATTTTCTTTTTGCATACTACTAACATATTCAATTAGTAAAACTTTGAATAAAATTTTAAAACTTTATAAAAATAACAATAGTTCACCACAATACACCAAAAACTTTTTATTTTTAACTCTATGGGCTCACCTCTCACTAACGTTGTTAGCATTAGCAACAGATGTAAAAAAACTATATGAGAGTTTTTTTTATCATCTGCTGATGCTGCTAAAATAGTTAGCGAAACATAAGTCCTATGTTTTGGTATATTTTGGTGTAAACTATTTAGTGTAATTTTCTTGTTGTAATGCCAGTGTTCCAATTTCAACTGTATCCTTCAAAACTATTTGTGGCAAGATTCAAAGTTTTGCTAATATATTCTTTGTACTTACAACGTCTTTTAATTTGTGTTTTCTTTTCCTCTTAGCTCAGCTCGAAGGTTTTGATTATGGGGAAGAAGATGATGATACTTCATCCCTTAGTTTACCAGGAACTGATGAAATTAAAGATGGACAATGGCTAGGTAAGAGTAATATTGATACAGCCTATAAATGAAAGTCCAAATATTTATAATATTAAATCAATGGATTCTTGTTTTTTATCGTTCTTTATTTTTGGATTTGATATTTCTTTGCACAGTTATTTTGTTATACCTATAGTATATTTCTGGAGATATTGCTTTGTAAAGCACTTAAAAAACACTGTCTGTAGATTGAACAATTTTAGGAGTGACTGTCAAATCTCAAAAGCCTGGAGGTCTGGTGATGGTATGTGCGCATCGGTACATTCAAAGTGAGAATCTAACAAAGTACCACTATGGACAGGGACTTTGTTATCTCTTGGAGGCCAATCTGACTTTGAACGAAGCCTTGCAGTACTGCAAAAGCTTGCCCAAAGATAAGTAAGTATATAGGTATATACCATGGTATAAAGAAAACAAGGTATGATCGATAGCGGTTCCAATCTCGTTAAGTTTGCGCATACCACCTGTGACGTCATACGCCATACAAAAAAAATATCCATATTGTACAATTGCCACTAATAAAAAAAGACATAAAATAGGGAAGAATTAGGACATAACCCCAAAAGTTATGTCAAATCAACGAGCTTGACATTTGAAAAATTATTTTCATATTTATTGTGTCATCTGTTTGACAATTTGAAATTGGCGAGCGGAACTTGCCGACCAATGGTGCCGTTTATCACTTGTGACGTAGTGACCAACCTGCGCAATATCATACCTTGTATTCTTTGTATCATGGGTATATACCAATGATATCAAAATAAATTAGACCCGGCGACTTACATTTTGGCGAAATCCATCATTGCCTTAGAAAATTGCATGTATGCCAAATTTCCACTACCGGCCGCATTTAAAATGAAATCTTACCTACGTATACGTACGGGGATAGCTAACCCACATTGTAAACCAGGAATTCCATAATTCCAAATATAGATTACGTCGTAGAATATTTTAAACCGATAATAATTAAAGGTAGTAAAGTTAATAAGTAAAGGTTTAAATCTTCTGTAATTATAATTTTTAGAAATTAAGAAATTTAACATAAAACAATCGACAACGTCGCAACGCCAGCTGATGCCGAAAACGTACGCATTTTACTATCTTCACTCCTAAATTTAGGCAGCCAACAAAACATCCAGTTCGAATTCGTTCATAAATTGCTCTACGGCGTTGCCAATGTGTTGTAGTTTTTCGAAATGTTTTACGAGGTGATTTCCAGATATTTTAGTGTTTTGTGGTATTGTTTTTAGTGATTTTATTGATAAACAATAAGACAATGGTGCGAACTTGCTTAATTTGCAAAAATAGAGACGATTTAAACCTAGAAGTTTCATTTCGAAGGTGAGTAAGGCTATGTTACATCAGTGCGGTGCCGAAAGGTAAAATAGAGAAAAATCTTTGGAAATATGTATTAGTAAATCACACAGTTTTGGAATGTACCGTTATAAGTAATGAATTACATTAAGTTAGTTTCGTCACGTTTGGTTTTATTGAATATTTTGCTCATAATTTTTAATTATTAAAACCAAGTATACAAATACCAAGTATACAAATGCGATTAATTTGTTGAAAAGATATATAAAAAAATTAAAGATGCCACAATTACGAAAAATGTTCATAAGCGAAATACCATATGATCGAGAAAAAAAAACGGCGTCAGCGATGGCTATGAAATGAAGATCGCTGTAATTTTATATGTAAAATTATATGGGGAACGTGTCATCGATGTTCATTTCTAAGCCAACTGGAGTCCTTTTTTTTCTATCATACTGATTGTTATTAGGATTTTTAGTTGTTAAAGATGATTTTTTAAGTGTAAAATCAAAATAGATTTATATAATGATTGAAAAAAAAGTTAAGGGAAGAGTACGTTGGATATTACATACTAAATACCGAATGATCGAAAAAAACGGTATCGAAGACTGCTGGGAATAACAATCGAATATAATTTTGGCGAGGTCTATTTCTAGATGTCATTTATTAAAAATTGACATAAAGCTTGTCAAAAGCTAATACTAATTATAGAAAAATTATAAAAGGATAGAACGTTTCCAGAAACACAAACCGATATCCAAAAAAAAAATTTCGAATTTATACTACACCATTTAAAAATCAAATACAACCTTAAGGCCTACTACTGCCAGTAAGTGCCATTAAAAAATAAACAAGAGTAGGGGTCATGACATATTACCTCGCCAAAATTATCACTGATTGTCATTTTTACGCCGTTTCTTTTTTTCGATGGTATAATGTTTGTGGTAATAGAGCAATGTATTTTTTGTTTTGTTTATTAATGCTATAAAAATTATATAGTTTAAAAGATGAATGCATCTTTGTTTGATATGTTTTATAAAGCATTACTTTTTTTGTTTGGTAATTTCTAATGAAAAGTTAATTATTTATTCAGTACAAGGTCCCGATTATCCGCGAAGAAACTGTTCCAGAAATAAGTAAATATTTTAGAAATTTTCTTTTGTTTAACAAAGATCTTTATTATTGTTGCTATATAGTAATATTTTTATACCTAATATAAAATTGTAATTAGTCACGACAGTTTTAAAATATTCTCATTTTCCACCGTTGCTTCAAGCAAAATAATAACCATTAATTCACATAAATGTTTTATAAAAGTCGTCGTCGGCTCGTATTCATTGAATGCTTGATGGATTATATTACTACTGGAGCAATTTACAGACTTTATACTATGGAAATGTGCATATCATAATATTTCAATTAGTTATTTTCAATTTATTGGAGTACAGAAGTAGTCATTTTCAAAATTTGAAGAGCCATCGAGCACAACAATATATCGTATCCAAAAATCATACCGTATGATCGAATAAAAACGGCGTCAACGATGGCTACGAAATGAAGATCGCTGTCATTTTATATGTAAAATTATATGGGAAATGTCATCGATCGTCATTTCCAAGCCAACTGGACGCCGCTTTTTTTCCCGGTATTTACGCGGATATAATATTAAATTATATATTACAATCAAAGTAACTACGCCCATGACACACTTTCTCAAGATCTCTGAACAGCGTTGCCATTCTCACGGGAATCCTTCATGACTGCGATCAGCCCGTCTTGTTCCCACTCGTATAGAGCAAGAAACGAATGTCTGATTCTGATCTTTTCCATTTTATGAATGAAATGCCGGGTCTACTCTCACACAGTGTATACCAAAAAGTCATAAAACGAACTGATTATTTTTGTATTATTGTTTACTTATTTTTTCTGCCTTTAGACTTCATCAGCAATATGGTTTCTGTCAGATCGGAACCAGCATAGACTTTCCAGAAGATGGTTTCGCGCTAGTTGGATCTCCCGGTCCTTACACCTGGAGAGGAGCAATCTTTGCCAAGAGCACCATTGGAGACTTCTTATCCAGGGATAAAAATATTTACAAGAGTCCTGTGTCCGAAAGTGCCGAGCCTATAGACAAATACAGTTATCTAGGCATGAGCGTTGGTGGAGGACATTTCTTCTCCAAAGACGTCATGACGTACGTTTCTGGAGCTCCTAGATCCCTGATGAAGGGCCAGGTCTTCTTCCTGGAGAAGAATACCCCACATGAAGAGTTGAAAATCAGGATGAACTTGACTGGGGAACAGTTCGCTAGTAGTTTTGGATACGAACTTTTGGTGGTCGATGTTAACAATGATGGGTAAGTCAAAAAACTCCTGTTTTGGGTAAGTTCAGAGTTCGATGTCGACTATGAAGCAAACGTCGACAATGTCGAACAAGAGAAGTGATTAATACGATTTATCAAAAACATGATGGTGAAAACCTCACATCAATATCTGTTACCGTTTCGGAGTTACGGGGTGTTTTTCAAAAATGTGCATTTTTAACAAATCGCTGTAACTTTTTTGCTATGGAAAAGTTTGTATATTTATGAAAACATTTCACAACCTTTTTACGCAAGAATTTAATGGTCTAAGTATAATATTTTTAGAATTAATAATTTAAGAGTTATCAAAAGAAAAATTATTTTTTTTATTTGGGACACCCTGTATATTGTTAATTAACTAAACATTACTTAAAATTACCTTTCCAAAAATATAGCACACTTGATATTTTTAAAAGTTCACCACATTTAACTAGTAGGCTTTGGACCCCTTATTGATGATCTGCTCCTAATGGAACTTGAAAACATATTTTTCCAGCAAGACGAGGCCTCAGAACGCTGAAGTTATCAGCAAGTTTTTGCAGCCAATTTCGAGAATAATTGAATAGCTAACCAAGATCCCAGCCGTTGGCCATCGAGGCCGGCTGACTTAGCGCCTATGGATTTTTAACTTTGCGGAAGAATAAATGTTCTTATTTTTATATTGCCCGTAGAATCTAGACAAGAATTGGAAGTACTTTTCGTTTATGCGAGGGTATGTTTCACCCCCACTGAGATAATGAATTCCTCGAGAAATGTTCAAAAACGGTTCCGTCTGTCCATAACAGAAGACGGTCGATATGTCGAACACCTGTAGCAAAATCATGCGTCTTGGTTTGCTATTTACTTTTATTGTTATTAGATATAGTTTAAATATATTGATGTTGCTAAATATAGTTTAAATATAGTTTAAAAAATTGCAAATAGTATTTTCGTTTGAATTGCTGCTCACAGCTAGAATTTTTTTGCATTACAGCCGGCGCCGCTCAAAGCCTACTTATTCAAAGTGGGCGAATTTTTAAAAACTCTATATCTCGAAGAGGAATCGAACAAAATATCAAGTATGCTATATTTTTGGAAAGGTAATTTTAAATTCTTTTCTATGAATTAAAAATATACAGGTTATCCCATAAAAAATCAAATTTTCTCTTGATAATTTTTAAATTATTAATTTCAAAAAAAATAATACTTGTACCAAACCAAAACCATTAAATTCTACGTAAAAAGGTGCACTGGATATGTTTCATTTGTTAAAAATACACATTTTTGAAAAACACCCCGTAATTCCGAAACGGTAACAGATATCCATGTGCGGTTTTCACCTAAGGTTTTCACCATCATGATTTTGATAAAAATTGAGCTCCAGACACCGATACTATTTTGCATCTATCTCCTATAGAAAAGGATATTTAACCCTTTAAAAGCGTCCAATTTGACCCACCCTGTCCAAAGTATTTAATATAAAATATAATTTGTTAAATATCCTTTTTTTCTTCCACAGTTTTGACGATCTACTAGTAGGAGCTCCGTTCTACTACAATGACAACAAGGCGGGAGGTGCAGTCTACATCTACTACAATCTACGGAACTGCTTGGTAGACCCCTACCAAAACTGTACCTACGATAAGGTTCTCTACGGTTGGGAACAATCCAGGTTCGGATTCTCCATGACGTCCATCGGAGACATCAACAAAGATGGATACAACGATGTAGCCATTGGAGCTCCGTATCACAACGATCACGGAGCCGTTTATATTTTTTTGGGTTCACAAAATGGCTTGGTTCCGAAAGAATCACAGTTGCTGGAATTCCCCCAACTTAGACCAGGCTCAAAACTTCGAACGTTTGGATATTCCCTGAGCGGAGGCCTGGATATGGATAACAACGGATATCCGGATCTGTTGGTTGGAGCGTACGAGGCTGAGAGGGCTCTCCTGTTCCTCACCAGACCCATTATAGATATCCATATCCAGATATTCAGTGAGGATAAGGATAATTTCAATGTGTCCAAGAAAGGATGTGCTGCAGATCCGTTTAACAGAAACAATACATGGTAAGACAATCATCTTCCTCTAGGAGATGCCAGACTGAGTGGTGGGAAAGCTATTAGTCAGATGCTAGGGGGAATCCCCTCTAGCTGAATCTAAGGAGCATCTAACTGGCTTGTCCCTGGCTGTAGTGTCGTGGCCTTTTGGGTTGTATAAAGATTTACCTTTTTCTTTGATTTCAGCTTCTCCGTTAGATCTTGCTTCAGAATCGGCGGCGAACTGCGCAACACCCACGACCTCTCAGTGGTATCAAACATCTCAGAAACCGGGAAATTCTCGAGAATTTGGTTTAACGACGACCATCACAAAGATAAGAGGTCCAACGTGAAGAGGGACGTGATTCTAGTCACGGACTACAAGCAACCTCAATGCCAGGACTATGTGGTGTACTTGAAAGAAGGAGTAAGTGATATACTGACTCCTATCAAGTTCACTGTCAAGTATTCGCTGGAAAAGGACACTCCGCATTCGCCCATTTTGAACACGAGTTCGACCACTCAGTTTGAAGCGACGTTTCAGAAGAACTGCGGTTCTGATGATGTCTGTGAGAGTTATTTGGATTTGAGTGCGGACACCAATTTGGAAAGTAAGTATACCCAAGTAGCATTTTCACGACTTGCGACCACATGTTTACTAAACACAACGTTGGATTAGTTACAAAAAATAGTTAGTGCCGTACCTTGGGTATTAAAATAAATGTAAACGTTGTTGTAACGTTGTGCCGACGTTGAACTAGTACTACAACAAAGTAAAAGCTTCTGCTACGTCGAATAAACGTTGTCTTGTAACCTTTTTTGCTTAAGTGATATTTAGGTGATTCGGACAACGTAACTATAATGTTGGGCAATAAAGAGTTTTCCGACGTTACTTTCAGGACCTATTCCAACGTTATGCAAACGTCGTCTGTTTTACTAATTCCAACGTTGTTTAGATTTCCTTATTCTTACGTTGGTAGGACGTCGAGCCACTACCTTTTTGCAACTGTATTGAAACATAACCTTAAATTTTAAATTTTCACTTCATTGTTCTGTTCAGTCAGACAGTTCAGTGCTGTTTTTGTTTTTATAAAAAAAAACTTAATTAAAATGGGACATAAGAAAGGTACATATAAAACTAAATTTATATATACATCGACATATTACCGACATTTTATCCACTCCTTCGTTTATTTAGAATATGGGCGGCACAAGCTAGACTCTAGGATGACTAAATTAGGCAATCTTGCGACTAGTATACTACCTGTTAAGGCTGAATTGCGACTTTATTAGTCCGGTATGCGACTACTCGAACTACTCCATCTTAATCTCCAAAACAACACAGTGAAAGCCGCCATGTTGTTGAATAAGAAAATGTTTCGTTTCTAAAATAGCAATTCCTGTTTTTTGAATACACTAACTTGAAATATTTGACCCTAAACAACATGCGGAAACAATTTTTTCGACTGCGAATAAATTATTCTCATTTTACTAAAAAAAAATTCAAGAAATGTTTTAAAACTTCTTTAATTTTAAGGCTCATTAGTATTTTTCAAAGTAGAAACAATACATTTATCAATAAAGTTGTTTGCGTTTAACTTTTTTGCCTTGAGTAACGAGTTACAGAGTCGGTTAAAGTGTTTCAATAATTATGATCTTCAAACATCCTCCACACAAAAATACTTTTGTTTTGTTTTCCTTTACTGCCACCTGGCATATGTCTCTAACTAAATAATAAAAATAATATTTTTACTATAATTATCCCAATTTAAGATAAAACGCGACTTAGACGCCATATTATTATAGTTTTGTATTTCTGTGAATTAGGATTTTAAACAACATTGCAGTTTGTACTAAACTAGGCTGCTAGCCAACGTCGGTATCCAACGTCGTTTCGACCCAAAAATTATTCTCCAAACTAGTGCAGACTAGGGTTGGCACGTGGTTGTGCCGACGTTGCGCCCCGACGTTTGGTCGCGTGACACAACGTTGTCCCGACATCCAAATGCTGCTTGGGAATTTTTTTCATCATGCGGGTTCAGATGGTTCAAGAAGCCGCATACGTTAAGTTACTAAAACGGCTGGTACCTCTAAATAGGTATTAAAAATACTATATGATCTAAGACGTACTTAAAATTTTCTAAACAATACGAACTGATCTCAGACACACGCTAAAACTAATATTTGACAAATAACGATGACGTAACAGTGAACGATGGTTGAACAGTCTTTACATTATACCGTATGATCGAAAAAAACAGCGTTAAAGAATGACAATTTATGAAAATTTTGGCCAGGTCAATCTCTAGACATCTTTTACTAAAACATTTTATGTTTTTGATGTGATCTTCTCTTTCTATTCAAAGCCACACACATTACTAATATTTTTATTTTTTTGCAGGAAATACAAATGGAGAATACAGGGTAGAGTCGCTGAATAAAGAATTTATTATTGTGGCCAATATCAGCAATCTTCGCGAGTCAGCTTACGAGGCCAAATTGTTCGTCTTCCATCCAAAAGCGCTCAGCTTTGTCAACCTTCAGACCGATAACACTCAGGTAAAAATTCATTATTCAGCTGGAACTAGAACAAAATAATATACAAGGCGTTTTCTCTTCTAGATCCAGTGTTCCGTTAAAAATGGCGTTCTGGTTTGCGAGCTGGGCAACCCTTTTAGGGCAAATGCGTCTGCTTCGGTAAGGTTGAGGTTTCAAATCAGCAAATCACCGAAAGAACAAAAACTGGACATTTCCCTCAAAGTTAATTCTACTTCGAAGGAATTATCTGACAATACCGAAATAAAGATGGTGGCCATATTACAAAAAGTGGCAGAGTTCAATTTTGTAGGGTAAGTACTATTTTTTCAAGGATTGTTTTTTTATTACCTGTTAAGCTCTGCCTGTTTTGCATTACGATCTGTTTCTAAGGAGCTTAACTTGTCAGTAGCTAGAACCGTTTATTATGCACTTTTTGAGTCGCACCTCAGATATATGCCCTTCCATTCTGGGGTACGTGATGTGCGACTCAATTTGACCGCATTTTCAAGCTCCAGAAGAGACCTGTTTGATATTCACTGAGACTAAACAGCAGAACTCATTGCCAGGACTTTTTTAAAAAATTAAAAATATTAACTCTTCCTTCCTTATTTATATTTGAATCCGTTTGCCTAATACGTAAGCATGTATCAGCTTCTCAAGATAGGCCATCTCACACTTATCCACTCAGGAACGCGGAGCAAGATCTTTATCTACCTACCCCACGCTCAGAGTTAGTTAAAAGTTCAATATTATACAACTCGAAAAAATGCACAATCACCTGCCATTTGAAATCAAATCCATAACATTATTTTCTTCATTTCGCAAAGCATTGAAATCTTATTTACTAGACCAGGCTTTCTACGCCATAATTGACTTATATTTTGATAATCGAATTTGATTTTGTAAACACTGGTCTAATATTTGCCATTACTATAAACTTACTAAATATTTTTGAATGTTATTTAATTTTTTTTATTCTTTGACATTGTAAACATTTATAAATGTTTATTTTAAACAATAAGACTGACAATGTAATTTGTATACTTGTTTTGTATTCTGTTTTGTTTTTTTACTTTACCTTTGTCTACAAATTGTAAAATTTTTTGACAATAAAGGCATTTATTATTATTATTATTACAGGAGAGGCACCACAAACTTGTTCTTTGGTGGTAAAGTAGTTGGTGAATCAGCAATGAAACACTTGGAAGACATAGGTGCAAGGGTAGTACATCAGTACCACATTGACAACAGAGGAGAATGGGACTTGCCTGAAATCAAGGTTCATATCAGGTGGCCCTACCAAGTACGACCGGGTAGAGAAGGTGCCGAAGGAAAATGGCTGCTTTACCTGGAAAGTGAACCAAAAGTTGTGGGTGAGTTCATTATAAAGCAAGAAGTAAAGTTATTAGTTTAGCAAGAGAAAGTATAACAGACAGATTACATCCAAAAATTGACAGAAAAAAAAATTACTTTTAAATTAAAATTACAGGTAACTGTCAATGTAAAATATTCTGTCGTTGGACAGGTGAGAATACAATGGTTGTATTTTTATAAACCGTTTCGGAAATCATGGTATATTGTAGGTAAATTCTAAACGCAATTTTGCAGAGACGTCAATTTTAAGTTTTCCCAAATATGTTTTGTTCTACATGGGTAAAACTGACGTTTGCTTCTACTACTCTTTTTCTACTACTCTGTTTCATTCCGTCTGTTATAGAGTGAAAAAATTCTCAAAAACTTATCGAAATGATGTGGTTTAAACCAAAAAAGTTGACATTATTCTGAGTAAATTTCTGGGAATTTTATCCACACAAATGTTTCTGAATATTCATTAGCACAATTTACAAGCACTGCTACATCTCTGACTAATTCACTTGATAAAAGTGTTTATTTTTATCGGATCACTCTTAGAAACTCTCTATTTTACATGTATGGCCCCACGTTGGGCGCCAACTATAATAGAAAGAAAAAAGAATTCATATATTCAAACAACATTCATTCAATATTATTTCAAACATCTATTAAATTAATAAAATTAAACGGCTTATACATGAGATAGAAAGATTCTATAGCACCTATTAAAGCATTTACATCAGAGTCTTGTAGAATGTAGAATGTTTGGGAGGGGAGTTAATCACCGCGACCTTATAGATCTATTGTGTGTTCCCCTTTCTTGAGTTATAACTCATCATACAGTCTCAGGGCTTTAACAAAAGTCAGTATCTGAGACGGCTCCACAGAGACCAGCTCTCCATCCTCGACATCAGACGTACCAAAGTTCATGGCACGAATGGTCGTCGTCTCGGCACACTCAGTGATAAGGTGTTCTGGTGATTCCCCATTTTCCCCACAAAATCTGCATTCGCCGTTGTTTCTCAGCTTCAGCCTACTGAGGTGTTGGTTGAGGAGACAGTGTCCTGTTAGAAACCCCGTAACAATCCGAAGATTGTTTTTACTTAAATCAAGAAAAACCTTTGATTTTTCTCGGTCATAAGTTCTGAGGAACTTTTTCGAGTGTCTTAGACCGTTGGAGGACACCCATTCCAAGTTATGGATGGATTCTTCCAGATTCTTCAGTTCCGCTTTCAGTTGGTTCCCGTTTGGAAAATAGAACGGTTCTGGTCCAGTTAGTGGAGTGTTCGCTCCTTTTCTAGCTAGATCATTTGTTTTTTCATTGCCTTCTATCCCTTGGTGAGCAGGCACCCAGAGTAGGAGGACTTTATTTTCTTTGCCTAATTTTATTTTCTTTGCCTAATTGCCCAATTTCATTGTGGAAATGATGTAATGTGATTTTGTTTTCATTTTTCTTTACTTTTAAACCCAAAGTGCTCGGATTGGACGAATTCAATGAATTTTCTCAGGGCTATAGTTGAATTTGCGGCCAAACGAAGAATCTGTACCATGTTGAATAAGTTTCTGGAAATTTAGTCCACACAGAATTGTTCCCGAATGTTTACTAGCACAGTTCACAAGCACTGTTACGCCACTGACTAATACAATTGATAGAGCTGACCATTTTTATGGTAAAACTCTCTATTTGACACATGTATATATGTACTCCCACGTTGGGCGCCAAATATAATAGTGAAGTGGAATAAAAAAACTGAAATATTTCACACATCTATCTATTAAATTAATAAAATTAAACGGGTTATACATGCGATAGTCTCTCTTTCTTTTCCCCCAGTGATGTTTTCTAAAAGTAACTTTTTTATTTTTTAAATTGTTGTGGCGACATACCCAATAAGATTTTTTTCCAAGAAATTCGTGTGTATATGTAAACCTTTTTTAACATTTTTTCTTCTTTTTTAGGGGTCGGGTCCAGTTTTTGTAGCATCAGCGAGGATAACGTAGTCAATCCTCTAGGCTTGCAACTGTTGACGCCCAGCTCGAATGAGCCGGAAAACCTTAGTATGTTACCTAGCGACCTCATGCATCAGCAATCTAATTTTAGCGATACAAGGAGGAGGAGAAGAAGACGTGACATTGAAGGTACAGCGGCCTGGAAGGATATAGTCAAGGAGGGAATCAAAAGAAAGATAATTATTATGGTGAGTAATTGGAGAAGACATTCTTAATTTTTAGGAAAAAAACGGAACCCTTATATAATTATTTGTTGTCTGTTCATCTGTCTGTCAAGACCATTTATTACGGGAAAGCCTTTACAGTTCCTTGAAGCTGTAAAAAAATCAAACTTTAAGTTAATGTAAAAAAAAGATACAGCCGTTTATGCTGCAAAAAACGTATATTTCGACACTCTCAAGGGAAACAAAATTTACAGGGTATTTTCCGTTAATCTAGAATTATGAAATTTGGCAAGCAATACCGTCTAAAGCTTGATTTTCATGCGTCCGTCATCCGTTGATACGCCGCACAGTGTAACGAAAACTAAAATAGTGGGACATTGGTATTTTTCTTCAGTTAACACTATTCTTGCTGAAATTTTTTGACAGAAATTAAATAATACGACTAGGAATTTTTGCTACAGGGCGAAAAGAGTAAAAAAAGGCGTAATGGAAGGTCAAAAAAATACGAAGTTTTATAAAAGGACTTTACAGGTATATTTTTTTACTTACGAAGAGTTTATAGCTCTTATGGACCAAAAACGTTAACAAATTACTGTCGAACAATCATTTATCTCCCGCTAATATGTCAAAACTCAATCAACATTCCTAAATATTCAAATAATCAAGGATAAATTAGATAAGACTGCAAAACTCAAAGAGAACGACACAAGTAGCAAATATCTTTTAACAGTATTAAATAATATGATAATATGCGAAAAAAAAACGTATTCAACTTCAACAAAAGAAACCATAATACACACCTCACAAAAAATTTCGCAACACTTATATTTTTCGTAGTATTTATTCTTGAAACACTTCAAACATTTTTATGTGAAAAACTTAAATCTAAAGTCTGCCTGAGTTATGATATACTTTCCATTCCTTAACAAGTTGCTATTAAGCAAATAACTTTTGAGATTATTGTTAACCAAGAGAATTTAAGAATATTTTGCAGTTTTCCAAATTAATAAGTGATGCGATAATTTATGTGGGGTGCATATTATTCCAAAATAACATAATATGTAAGGCACTTACATAAAACATGCTTAAAAATAATTCTCAATTTCTTCTCCATCCATATACAAGAACTCTTTCGCTTCCGGAAACAAGTCTACTTTTTTATTTTTAGAGTGCTTTGGTCGCAGATGTGAAAGTAGAGGATTTGAATATATCAATAAGTTGTGCAATATCTCTTCAATAGTTTCCTTAGGACCACTCTTCCTGGAAAAATTTTGGCGGAACGATCGAAATTTTTTGTTTCTTGATTCAGATGCTTCTTCGGACATTTTGCCGATGGGTATAAATTGAAAACGTTCACAGATATCTGCACCATGAATCAAAAGCATATGAATGCTTGAAGGCATATAATACCAACCGTAAAGGGAAACAAATAGTTCTGCTGTCTCTTTCATGTCACCAAACTACGGTCGAATCAATGGAAAACGTAATTATTGCCGAAGAAATTTATTTTTTTCTTCCAGGTTCGGATCTATGTGGATGAAATTTATATGTAACAGTATACTAGAAGGTTCACTCTATGATATTTTGTATATAACTATAACTTTGCGCGAATGTAAGCGTTTTTTTTGGAAGTCATAATAAACATGTAGAAACTAGACTTGAAAAAAATTGGGACATTTTTTTCAGGTTTGTTGTTGGTAACAGACCTCTCTTTACGGAAAAAAATTGTTGAAATTGAACAACACAAGGAAACTTCTGAAAATAATAAATTTCATTGTATGAAATTTTTGTACAGATTTGGTAAATTAAAGAAACCATAACTTTAACCCGCCATAACTCCCCGACTAAGAAGTCAACTCAAGAAATATCTCACATGGGGGAGCTCTGGGATATCCTTTATCCATCTATATAGAAAACTTGATGAATTAATTGTTTTGTTTTTTGGGCTAATGTCCCGCATTTCCCGATTTCGTTACACTGTGCGCCGATGGTCCGACGGCGCTCTGATCGGTCATAGCGTTTTCCCGCCACTTTTCATCCGTTAATTTTTTAATATTCTTTTCAGGATTGCATGGAAAATGCCAGATGCGTGGACATACTGTGCTACATCGGCTCTTTAAAGAAGCAGCAAGCACCAGTCTACGTGGAAATCAAGTCCAGGATATGGAATTCCACATTGGTAGAGGACTACAGCAACGTAGACTGGATCAATATCCGATCTGTGGGAGAAATCAGCATAGACGACTCGAGTTTCGTCACGAAGCCCGATCAAAGTTTCACTTACGCAGTAAGTATCCTAGATTATATACAGGCTATCCTATTATTCCGTGGATATACAGGGTTCTTCACCACATACGACACGGAGTATTGTAGCCAATAAATTTTAGGTTCGTTGAAGGACTATTAGAGCTACAATTTAAAAATATTTTTACAAGATACAGAGTGTCCCAAATAAGTCAAAAATATTATAGTTGTATTTTTTTAAATGGAACACCCTGTATATTATTACATTTTTAGTTTCTACGACTAAAATAAAGGTAAATTTAATTAAGGTTTACCGCATTTTGATCTTACCGCTTTTAAAATATTTAGGTATTTGTCAAAATACAGTAATAATTTTAATGCTTCATTTCTCTAGGCTTAATTAAATATTGTACTGAAGTATTTTTGTTTACTAAATTTTGTGTTACAATTATAAAAATTATACTACCTTGATTGGACAGAGTGTCTAAAAATTTATTTTAAATAATTACTAGCTTTAAACGGCAATAACTTGTTTAATTTAAATGGAACACCCTGTAAATTTTATGAGAATCAGATGCACAATTTAATTGTCTATCAAATTATATTATACCATTTTTTACCTATCTCTTCAACTTTTCGTAGAAAATGCATTTTCTTATAATTTAGACCTCATTTATTAATATACCCATGGAATATTGACATTTTAGATTATTTTAAAGATGGAAGAATTTTTTAAAGAGTACAGATACTAATATTGTCGATATAGTTCGTTTATTTCATTAAAAATGTTTAATATTTGTTAAAAAGGAAAAATTAATATGATTCCAGTATTCAAACTACGTTGATTTACTGTTTGTGTTGATTAATAATAATTGCACCAAATACTAAAAAACTGAATTTTGTATGTGTATTAGACAGTGTGGTAAAAAGTAACACCTAATAAATTTGATTTAATTTTTTGACGAATGCTTATTTATAATATCAGTGACGTTCATTTTCATAAATTATTATTATATTGGTTTCTGATTCAAATCCACATTTATTTAGAATAATTTATTAAACACAATAAGTACAGTACGTCTGTCCGTTCTGTAGCTACGGGGTATCCGTGAGAGGGGAAACGATATTCTCTCGATTTTTTTCGTAAAAAATTAGACGACGCGTCCCATCAATAAAAATTCGACAAATTTGCAAGTAGCCAATAAAATGAGTGGGCGGAGCGATTTGCGGTGACGTACTCGTCAAGTCGACGTATAAAATATATTGCTGTTTATTTAAATGTTTTTTGTCCGCATTCCTTTCATAGACTCAGATCCAGCAGACGTACTTTACATACAGTACGTAGCTACAGAATGGACAGACGTACTGTAATTAATTAATATTTGGGCGGAAATAATGGTGGTATATTTAATTAATGGTATACTCTTTTATAAAGACTTAAATAGTTTTTTTTGTATACAAATGGACTAGTAATATTATCGTTTGTAGCACCTGTACATTTTGTACATTTATTGCTCTAAAAAAATCGAAAATGTCAATATTCCATGGGTATATTGACAAAAGAAGTCTAAATTATAAGAAAATACATTTTCTACCAAAACTTGAAGGGATAGGTAAAAAATGGTATAATATAATTTCATAGACAATTAAATTGTGCATCTGATTCTCCTAAAATATACAGGATGTTCCATTTAAATTAAACAAGTTATAGCCGTTTAAATCTAGAAATTATTTAAAATAAATTTTTAGACACTCTGTTTGAGGTAGTATTATTTTTATTATTGCAACACAAAATTTACTAAATAAAAATACTTCACTGATCAATAAAAATAAACTTCAGTAAATATTTAGTAGTAAAACTTTGATACCCTTGGAGAAATAAAGCCTAAAAAATGTTATTGCAATACCACAAAATTGAAAATATTTCAAAAACGGTAAGGTTTAAGTGTGATAAACCTTAATCAAATTTACCTTTATTTTAATCGTAGAAACTAAAAATGTAATAATATACAGGTACCATTTAAAAAATACAACTTTGATATTTTTTATTAATTTGGGACACTCTGTATCTTGTAAAAATAGTTTTAAATTGTAGCTCTAATAGTCCTTCGACGAATCCAAAACTTATAGTTTGTAAAAATCTAATCGTTTTAGCTACAATACTCCGTGTCGTATGTGTTGAACAACCCTGTATAATACTACGCAGAATGGATTTAACAGTATGGATTTATATTTATAAAGAAGAAAAATCATTATTTTCTTGTTTCACGTCTAAGATTTTGTGTCAAATACTTATAGATTATTATTGTACTAAAAAATATTCCTTTCTTTACAGACTGAGACTTTGGTGTACCCAGCTGCCATATCACCATATTCCACCATCAATTGGTGGATCATAGGTATAGCTATCATAGCTGGCCTCTTACTTTTAGTAGTTTTAATAGTCATCCTATACAAGTGCGGCTTCTTCAAAAGGAAACGAGTGACTAAAGACCCGACCTTGTCGGGCAACTTACTGTCAAAAGACGAAAACGATAGTTTACTTAAAGACAAATAACAGAAACTGTACAACTTTTTTAAATAGGATTTTATTTCTAAATAATTACAATTTTCAAGTTATAGAGTGTCTGGCAAACGAATATATGTCATTAATGACAGTTTTGATTGAAACAGCTGTCATTTTAATTGAAAAAACGAATTGTCAACAGCTTAATTACAGAGAAATCGATGTACAGGGTGTCCCACTAAGAATAGCTCTCGGCTGTATCTCGTAATGTATTAGCCGTAGCGGCTACGGAAAAAAAAATATTTATAACTAAAGAGGCTATGGAAAATTGCTGGAAATTATTTTCAAGTTTGTAGAACGACCGCTAGGGGGCGCAACTGCAATAAAAACTAAGAAAATGGAGTTTTTACACAATTTTGCCTAGATAAGGTGTACTATAAGTAACAGCTTCATAATCTTCAGGAAATTTTGAATATTTTTTGTTAGAGCCATTTTCCCCTATCTACCAAAATAAAGTGGTGGGGGAAGGTTAGATCTGTTTTTATTTGAATATTAATAACTCTGGACTGGATGATCGGAATCCAATAAGCGAGGGCTCATTTAAAAGAGCGTTTCTTACTCTATATTGTACCATATAAACAATAATAATAAGCTTTTGAACGTAGACGCTAGGGGGCGTTGTCTTACAATTTGACAAACACTGCGCGTTTTTTCAAAAAAATTAAATGCAATAGTATATGCAAGTTTAGCTGATAGTACAGAGTAGTAAAAGCTTAAAAAGTCAGCTGAAACCGCATCTTGATATCTTCTTTCAAACCGAAGATATTAGCAAAATTATAATAAATACCAAAAAATAAGCCCTTAATTACCTTACTTTTACAACACGGTATCAGTAGCCCTCTTGATTATGCCCATTTTAACCTAAAAATATGATAGAAACAGTTAGTTTATTTTAAAATCAACGATATACCAGAATATCATAATATCAGATGTATTAATATCTAATAATTAAGATATTAATAATAGTTAACAAGAAACGATGAATCAGTGAAGTCATGGTAGGCTTTGGAAAAAAGTTGCTTTTGATGTAATAGTATAAACGTCAAATTGTTATTAGATCAACATTTTGATAGTCTTTAGCAGCGTTTTTTTATCTTTTGATAGCTTTTTCAAAATGCCAACTTCAACTACTTCAAATAATAAAGGCATGTTGAAAAAGCATTTAACGTTTTTTTTTAACAATTTGACGTTTATACTATTACACGAAAAGCAACTTTTTTCCAAAGCCTACCATGACTTCACTGAATCATCGTTTCTTGTTCACTATTATTAATATCTTAATTATTAAATATTAATACATCTGGTATTATAGTATTCTGATATATCGTCGATTTTAAAATAAACTAACTATTTCTATCTCATTTTTTTGTTAGAATGGGCCTAATCAAAAGGGTACTGATACTGTATTGTAAAAATAAGGTAATTAAGGGCTTATTTTTTTGGTATTTATTATAATTTTTCTAATATCTTCGGTTTGAAAGAAGATATCAAGATGCGGTTTTCGCTGACGTTTTAAGCTTTTACTACTCTTTACTATCAGCTAAAATAACACATACTATCGTATTTAATTTTTTTGAAAAAACGCGCTATGTTTGTTAAATTGTAAGAAAGCGCCCCCTAGCGTCTACGTTCAAAACCTTATTACTATTATTTTTATGGTATAATATAGAGTAAGAAACGCTCTTTTAAACGAGCTCTCGCTTGTTGGATTCTGATCATCCAGTCCGTAGTGGTCGAGAACTATCGATAGCCTATCGATATTTATCGATAGTTTATACTATCGAAAACTATCGATATTATATTTCTAACCATCGATAGTTTTTTTTTCGATAGTCTTTAGTAATAAAGACATAATTATCGAAAACTATTTACCAGTTTCAATAAAGAAAAGACATTCAGGTTTAATTTTTTTTATCACAACCAATCGATTTTTTGACATAGGCTGAAAATAAATAAAAATCTTCTTTTAAACGAGTTTTTGGAGCAGTTAGTCAATCCGAAATATGTCATTTTTGTCAAAATTATCAAATGTCGTGTCAACACTGTCAACGTTAACTGTCAACAGTGTCAACTTTAACGTCAAACGTCAACTTCAAGCTTACGGCCAACGGATTTTTGGATCTAATCTGGCATTTTTGCTTTGCATTTTGCAATTTAATTTATATGTGATAAACAATAATAAACATAAATCAAAATATAAAAAAACGTATGTGATGTGTGATGTGTCCATTCCATTTGCAGGCGGTGATTTAATATAAAAATGTTATTTAAAGAGTCTGGGTTAGTTTTTACGTCAATGATCTCCCACAAAACATAATTTATTTAAAAAATAATCTAAAAATTGGTAAACTCACTAATTATTATGACTATCGAACACTATCGATAATAATCGATGGTCAAAGGACCGACTATCGATAATTATCGATGATGGGGACTATCGATAGTTCTCGACCACTACCAGTCCGGAGTTATTAATATTTAAATAAAGATAGATCTAACCTTTAGCCCCACCACTTTATTTTAGCAGATAGGGAAAAATGGTTCTAACAAAAAAAATCCAAAATTTACTGATGATTATGAAGCTATTCTTTGTAGTACCCATTATCTAGGCAAAATTCTGAAAATAATATATTTTCTTATTTTCCATAGCAGTTGCGCCACCTAGCGGCCGTTTTACAAACTTGAAAATAATTTCCAGCAAGTTCTCATGGCCCCTTTTGTTATAAATATTTTTTTTCGTAAGCACTACGGCTAATACTTTCCGAGATACAGCCGAGAGCTATCCTTAGTGGGACACCCGGTACAACCATAGATCTTATAAACTTTGTGGATAAACCTATATCATAAAGTTATTGTTACACACAACTTTGTTTTTATATGAGTAAGTAGCACTTACATATAAAACAGAGATAGAAGATCAATCACCTCAGCAAGTCAGTGTAAAAGTCAGTAATCAAGTCAGTGTTAAAGAGTGTCTTAATATGTTTTCCACAAAAATGAAGTAGATTTACTTATCTATGTAGTTAAAAGATCTAAAGTTACAACTAGGATTGTAGGTTTTAAAATGACGTTATTTTGACGTTACTTTCAACGTCACAATAAAATTACGTCAAAATCAATAAGCTTACTATGCTAGTTTTTCAAGGTAATATTTTTCTTCTTTTTTTTTATTTTTTTTATTTAAAAAAAAAATAAATTATACTTAGAGCCTACTAAGTTGTTAGTGTATTATAGAGAAAAACATATTTTTTATTATTTTTTAAGTGTAATGTGTGTGTTTGTGTGTAAAGTCGTCCTTGTTCTGTAAATATTCGAGTGAATGTAGTGTAAAAAAAAAATTAAAAAGGTACGAAGTTTTTCCTTAAGATAAATTTTAATTTATCATAAATTATTTTTTTATCGCGAAAACTTTTTGACTCCTCCTGTACAGTATATACTGGGTGATTTTTAAGTATTTTGAGAAAGTTTCAAGGTAAATTCCACAGCTATTTTTTAGAAAAAGTTCCATGTAATGTAAGAAATGTGACAGAATACCTAATAAGGTATTTCGAAAACAGTGTCCACTTCAGAACATAGGTTAATACAAACTTGTTCTGGTAAAATTCTATAAATTTTCTTAATAAGAATCACCCTGTATATATTCCGAGTAATAATTTATTTACTAATCTAAACTTATATACACTGGTGCAATCTAAACACTTACTTTTTTAAATGAGAAATTAATATAAATATAAACATAAAAGTGTAGTCAGTCCAATGACAGGATCCTTATTCTGACAGCGGCGGCGGTATAATATGTCATTTTAGATCACAAGCCAATTGTATTTTCTGTCATTTTCTGGATGGGGTCTGTCGAAATCTTCCATGATTCGTTGGAAAGACTATAGGTTAGATCACACTAGTGTATACATTAGTGAAGACAGTCAACTAAGTGTATAATGCAACCAGCGCTTCAAAATACTATAAATAGTATTTAGAATAGCAGACTGAATGGTACTATATCTTAATATGATGCTACATGATAATGTGGCACATTTATAAAATGATAACTATGTAATATATAAAAAAACCTGAATTTTTTTAATCAAGTAAAATATTGTAATTGTTTTTACAAAAGAAAAGAAATATGTAGTGTATTTACTTTATTTTGTTGTAAATGTCAGAATAAATAAAGGACCTACACTAGAAATACCATATGGTCGAAAAAAAAAGGCGTCAGAAATGGCTAATAAATGAAGCGACGCCGTTTTTTAGATCATACGGTATATTATTTATTAAAATTGTGATAGTATCATAGGCTAATAAATTAAAGGGCTCGCCGTTTAAATATAAGAACTTTTTATATATTTATTTTGTCTTTATTAGACATTTTTTTAAATTTGAAATTACTAAAGGTGAGTCAATAATATTTTTACTGTCCATGGGTAATAATAACATTTTGTGAAATGTTGAAATGTTCAAAACATATTTATTTGTTGTTAGGTATTATTTAAATTGATTATGGTGCTGCTATATTATGATTAAAAACATTGATAAAGATAGAGACTTTTGTATATATAATTAGGTAGAATATATGATTAAATAACTGTACTTAAGACGGTTTTAGTTAAGTTTTTGTGTTCAAATGAAGACTTGTTCCCTATATTTACTACTAATCTGACACATTTTATTTGTTTATAGTTTATATACAGGGTGTCCCAATAGTTAGTGGACATAGAACTACTATACGTATTTTTGAAATCAAAATAAGTTCATTTGACACGATTTATCTCTTTACAAAAATGCTTTGATTGTCCGCTAGAGGGCATCAAACTATAAAAAAATAAACACATTTTTTCAGATATTTTAAGAACCGTTATTCCGATTTGAATGAGATTTTGAGTGTCTATATGTTTTGCTCAGTGCTTTAATTATGGAGTGTAGAGGTAAGGAGAAATAACTCTTATGGGACTTTTATTGAAAAAGTGGTCACAAAATGGGAAGAATAAGGGTTCGCCAAATGACCACAGTGGCGCTAAAAACGCATAAATCTAAAAAATGAAAAGTAACCATAGATAAGAGAATAAAAATAAATATAACCAAACATTACCCAAAAAAAGTTTTTTTTTATTTTTTTAGAATATAAAATAAGTATTGTTTATCAATATTTTGTGCTTTATTTATTATTTAACAATGGTTAAAGTGTGTGTGGTGCGAAAGTTGATTGAATAGCTGATGGAAAATAAAGAACAAAGGCAAAGCCTGTAAAATACATAATATAATTCAGTATTGTATTATTTGTATTATATGTAAAAATTAGAGTCAATCAAAAGTGTAGTAAACATTTTTCGTAAGATTATTGACATACATGTTACAAAGTATATTTTTACAATCCTTTCTATAAAGTTACAACCTGAATAAAATTTATTTTTAACGATTTTAAGGTTTGACAGACATGCACAAATTGTTGGCATTTTTTAAACAAATAAAAGTAGGAAATAAATAAAGTTGTAGGTACTTTCAAGAAATATAGTTAACTGTAAGTGCTGTATTTTAATAATCTGTCAAAAATCAAAATCATCAGGATAATATTAGGTATTGATTTTCAAACAAGAATTAGATTACAGCGATGGTCAAAAGCATTTAGATATTGCTTTGAAATCTACAGATAAGGTATGGCAGTTTCGTTTTAAAGAACAAGATGTTAAAGTTTATGATAAAATTGTCATCAGAAATACTGTCCACTTGCAGTATTTACATAGGAAAATGTTGGAGGATGAAGCTCTACCTACTGTCTCAGGTTAATTTAAATTCTTTAAGAGTTGCAACAACAGCAACAAGCAAGAAGGGCACCATTAAATGAATATTATACACATAAGTATTATTATACAAAGAAAGAGTAATGTATATACACATAAATATTAACATTTTGTAGAGCAACAACAGAATAAAAAACCAAAATATGAACACCAGCAACTAAAACAGGAACCATTAAATGAATATTATATACGTAAGTACAATTTGATTGAATAAAAACAGCGTCAGCGATGCCTATGAAATGAAGATTGCTGTCATTTTATATGTAAATGATATGGAGAATGTCATCGAGATGTCATTCCAAGCCAACTGGACGCCGTGTTTTTTCGATCATACAGTATTATTATACACATAAATAGTAATATTATACACATAAACATCCCTTGATAGAGATCAACATTTTGTAGAGCAATAACAGCATCAAATAATGGAAATAATGGACCTTATTGCACAAATCAAAAACAAAATTTCAGCATTACTACTTTATTGGTTATATCAATAAAAGAAATTGAGTTTATCAGTCTAGATCCTACAAGCAAGCAGATCTATCACATAATTTTAAATGAAGATTTATCTATCATAGTATGTGTATAAACACTTTGCATCTTTTATTCAATGTTGTAATGAATTAACAAATTCCAGATAATTTATTCTAATAACGAAAAAAAAACTTTGGATCAAAAAATATTTTCTTCTGATGAGGTTTATGAATATTAAAGTCTGTTGAAGTTTGGCCATTATGTGTTGGTATACAATTTATTTATGATGTTACAGTAGTTAAACCATCCGAGTAATAGAAACATGTTTAAAATCCACTATTCTTAATGAATGGAAACTACCAACTTGAGAGGAAGCTAAGAGAAAGGTTCTATTGGGTGGACTACAAGGAAAAGGGATATACATGAGGATCTGGAAGGGCTATAACATTACGTCTCAAGCCATGGGACAATAGGAAACGAAATTCAAAGGAAAATATTACAATACGTGGGATGCAAATTATAGTGCAAAGAATTGTCTAATTGTCAACTACCAACTTGGGAGGAAGCTGCGAGAACGATTCTATTGGGTGAACTACAAGGAAGACATGAGGATCTGGAAGGGCTATAAAATTATATTATTCCACGTCCCAAGCCATGCAAGCCATGTTGGAATAGCTGGGAGTGAAAAAGAAGATAATACTGCACACGATTCTTGTCTAGAAGTAGTTGATACTAAGGTAGTTAAGCCATCCGACTATCGAACATTTAAAATCCACTATTCTGAATGAATGGCAACTACGATGGCAAAACGTAAATAAATACTTGTACAGTATAAAATTACATTATATTGGCTTAATTTTTATACTAAATAAAATGTGTTACGTTATTTTTGACCTGCATTATATTTATTTAAATCCCATATCATCAATTAAACTTTAAATAAAGCTTTCCCAATTATAATTAACATTAATTTTAAACCAAAGCTTTTTTCATCTTGAATGAGATTTACGAAATATCTTATGAGAAAAAATAAAAAAGAGGCTCAGTCTATTGCTTCTGAATAATCGATAATAAAACCACATGTTGACTTACTTTTATACTAAATAAATGTAGGTATGAAGTTATTTTAAAGCTGCATTATATTTATTTTAAACCCATCACCAATTATTACTTTAAATAATTTTTTTCTTAATTATAATTAACATTAATTTTAAGCTAAAACGATCAGAATAATGTTTTCGTCGTCTTGAATGACATTTGCGAAATAACTTATGAGAGCAATAAAAAAAGAGCCTAGTCTATTGCTGCTGAATAAAAATCTGTAATTTATTTCATGTGACATGAAAATAAATTTGTATTTTTTTGAAACCCGCGGCTTCACGTATATGATTCACGTCAAATATTTATGTCTTTTGAATCAGCTGTTCTAAAAATGTTCGGCGCATGTCTTAAATTTTAGGTTTTTGCTACAGCAGCGCCATCCTAATTCTTCCCTTTTTTTTGACCATTTTTTAATGCACGGAGTTGTTTCTCCTTACCTCTACACTCCATAGCTTTAATATTTGACTTTCACAAAAATCAAGAAAAACTGTGAAAACTACCCCCATCCCGACATAAATTTTAGTATAAAATATTTTCCAACTCTTACCGACGACAGATTTTCTTTTCGTAAAATGTCAATCAAATCGGAATAATGGTTCTTAAAATATCTGAAAAAAATGTTTTTTTTATAGTTTGATGCCCTCTAGCGGACAATCAAAGCATTTTTGTAAAAAGGTAAATTGTGTCAAATGAACTTATTATGATTCCAAAAATACGTAGTAGTTCTATGTCCACGGAATATTGCGACACCCTGTATATTAGAATATAAAAGATTTTAATGGCCTTTTTTAATACACATCAAGAAGAGTTACATACTTAGTATTTACTAAGATTATTGTATAAATATTTCTTAGATTTAGATTTTTAAATTTGTCACTGCCAAAAGCCAAAATGTATAACCCTTCATATACCAGGTGTAAATAAATTTCAGCGATAAAATATCAGGATAAAATAATCTTTTATTTTGGTGTTTTTCTATCAAGTTATTTGGTGATATAGGGCGAACCAAAATTATACCAGTATCTTTATTTTTTTTCAAAAATGTTTCAGACCAAATGTTATTAATCAATGCGCGGAATTTTTAGGTAGCATAGTTATAGTTATTTTTGTGTAATTTTTATATTTTGTATCTTTACATGATGTATTTTACTATATGTTTATCCTTTAACCCCTAATTCTGAAATATTTTTTTAAAGAAATAGGTACTTTCTAAATTTTTGACTGTTATTAATAATTTACACCTGTATATAAACAAGGGTATATAACCAAAAAACGAATCAAAATTTTGAAATTTGGAATATAATATTTATTATTTAATGTATATATTTGTGTAAATGTTTGAGTAAATTTTTACGTTACTCTGTTTATTATTTATACATATAAATAAATTATTGTTTTTAACAATTTTTTCATACAAATAAATGTATTAGATTAATAGTAAAAATATTTAAAAAATAAACTTTTTATATTGATCTTGATGACTTTTTTTCTCTTAACCCATATTTTTCTGTTAATATACCGGGTGCGTCTCGAAAGTGGTTCAAACCTATAACTTTTTTATTTTTTCAGATAAAAAAACGAGATTTGGTATGGTAGTATACGACATAAATTAGGATTAATTGGACGTATTCAATTATTTTTGGCCACTTCCTGTTTCACCGGAAATGGCTACAACTTTTGATGACATTTTCGCATTTGGTTTATTTTAAATTGTAACATGACGACAACATGACTCGAAATACCAAGTGTGTGGTACCAAATTATGCATAAAAAATGCTTTTCCCAAATATGCTAATGAACAGCCATTGTTCCATTTGAAAAAATTGACATATGATTAAAAATACGATTTGAGCATCTGTTAACTGGCCAGGACAAGACACGAAAAACATTAGACAATCAAATCTATTTTTCCAAGGCTTCTTGATTAAAAATTAGTGTTTTTAACACAGCCATGGCACTCTAGATTGAAATTTATAATAGGATTTTTTTAAGCGAAACTGTCAAAAGTTGACATATTATGATATGTCATTCTACTCAGAGAAACATTTTCTATCAAATAAAGTATAAAATATATCGAGGGCGCCATTTAAAAATCAAAAGTTGTAGTCATTTTCGGTGAAACAGAAAGTGGCCAAAAACAATTGAATACATCAATCAATTCCAATTTATGTCATATACTAACATACAAAATCTCGTTTTTTATCTGAAAAAATAAAAAAGTTATAGGAGGTGAGCCACTTTCGAGACGCACCCTGTATAAGTAAAAAAATTAAATATATATATTAACTTGTACTTTGTTGACGATATTTTGTAAAAAAAAATGGTTTACTTACCTATTTTTTTCTTCTAAATTTTAAACTAAATTTAGTTATATAAAATACTACAGAAATTTCTATACCAAAATGATCACCATAAAATTATAACAATAAAACAATTTATACTGTATTACAAAATATAAAAAAAACTATAAACAAAACTATAGTATTTTAAAAATATATATTTTTTTTGGTTAAATAAATTATATAAAAAAAAGAATATTAAAGCTGTTACTATATTATTTCACATGATCATTTTATATAAAAAAGGCACGCATACAAGAAGAATTAACAGACTCACAACAGTACAAAAAAAAAATGAAACTAAAAATCACTAATCTAGTAATTCCAGTTCTGCCAACTCTTCTGGAGTCAATTCAGTTGACAATGCTGAACTTTTAACTTGAAGCAAACTTTCTCCTTTGATATTATTATCGTTTTTTATTCCGTATTCTTCAATATCTAAATCATCGTCGTCTCTGTCATATGCACTATCACGAATCTTTTTTCCATAACCTACAAAAAATCAGATGGTAGCTTTGGTAGGTATGAACTGGTAACTATTTGGTTTCTGGATACAAAAATTAATTAATAGATAGTTTGTATTAGATTATTACCTTTAGATTTCTTATTTTCTTGTTGATCTGGTGGTGTAGTTAAATCCCCTTCATACTTAATAACCTCGTTTTGTGCCAAACGCCATTCCAAAGTCTCTGTAGAAAAATCATCCCTATTCCCTAGCTGCGTAAACCCGACCACTTTATCAACTAGAATAGTTTTTTGAATAAGAACTATCGTTGGAATAACCTAAAATTATAATAACTCATTTATAACAAGATCAAAACTTAATAAAAACGAAAATATACCTTAATTTTTAGTCTCTCAGCTAAAAACGGACATTTTTCTGCATTGAATTTCACAAACCTAGCTTCCAGATGTTTTGGAGCTAAAATCTTCAGGTGTTTGTCGAGTATCAAAGACCGTTCAGATGAATTTGTGAAGAAATGTATTATTAGATTATCCGACTTCTTGATTAAATCAAAGAAACATTTTTCCTCGGGCATTTCTTCGTATTTTCCGTGATCGTTTTTAAGCCATTCTCTCTTCAATTCTTCCAGTTTTTGCATTTCCTTTACTCTGTTTTTACGGAGTTGTTCCAGATCGTTCACATCTAGATTATCTATTTGTTCTATAGCAGCGTCGACTTGTTTTTCTATAGCTTGTGTAACGTTTAATAACTGGTTTTCCATTTTAACTAAAACAATATTAAAATTACAATATTATACCTTTTTTTTCAAATAAAATTATATTTTAAAATCTAGCCCCTCTAAACTTACCTTTTGAAACTATATGATGTTTCCTGTGTTTATAATCAAAATCTTGTTTTGAAAAAGCCCAAAATAGTTATGGAAAATGTGGAAAATTAGTTTTTCTTACCGGGTGTTTTCAAAATAAACTCAAAAACGTCAATTTTGATCAGAAAAATATGAAATATGAATATGAAGTTTTTGAAAGGTGAAGAAAGAGAAAGGTATATATATTCCGTCTTTGTTCAATTCTTCTTTTTGATTGCCAGGGTTGTAGCAACTAGAGTGAAGTACGTCTTAGTAGTTTTTTAGTTTTACGGCCTGAGCTGCCAGAGCTATGAAGTATGTCTTCAATAGCAGACTCCGTGTTTGCAGATCACATATTTTGTATATTTATTTTAAAATAAAACACTTTAATATTTTAATAATGTAAAAAATAATTGTGTAACAAAATTATGAACTCTAAATACACCAATAGTGAAAAATTGCATACATTACCATATAGTTTTACATAATTTTTTTATGTACATAAGAAAATTATTTACAGGTATTAAAAGTTAATAATTTTTCAAGACCAAAAGACCAAAAGTTAGCTTAATTTTAAAATAATGTGAATGTGAACAAAGTTATACTTCCTTTTTTAAGCCTCTAAAGCAACAGGTTCTGTAGGTGACTTTTGTTTGGCTTTTTCTAAAAATAAATAAATATTTATTTTATCAATAAACGATTAATATTAATTTACCTTTTTTCGTGGGTTCCTGTTCCTCTTCTTCCGATACTTCACCGCTAACAACTTCATTTGATGGCACTTCTGGCATTTGTTCTTTCAGTATATCGGCAAGTTCGTTCTCTACAGCTTCTTCATCTTCATCCGTTAATACACCACTCAATAAACTTGATATTTCCTAAAAAAAACATGTAACTTTATATTTCCTTCTAAAATTACCACCTTACATCTTGTTTTTCCTTTGCTTCCCTTGTTTCATCTAATATCTTCTCAATATCCTCAATATTAAGGGCATCGTTAACTTTCTTCAGTGCTTCGTTTCCTTTCTTCAGTCCTTCAACTACTTCTAACTCAATTTGGGCAAATTCTATGTCGTGTGTTAGTTTTTCTAGGTTTTCTAATTGTCCGTCAGTCTTAACGAGTAGTTGCTCCTGATACCGTTTTTTTCTTAACAGTAGTTTTGCTCGACTATTTAAAAATTTAAAAAAAAATTACTTAACTCATATACCTACATTAAATCTATTGTACTTACTCTTTCTGTCCTTTAGCTAGTAGTTTTTTAGCTATCTCTCTGTCTGAAGCTAAGGAATTCTCTATTCTTCTCTGATATTGTTTCAATTTGTCTCTTTGTTGCTTAAGTTGCTAAAATTACAATATACAAATATACAAATTACTTTATGTTCAAGTATATACTTACTAAAACAGCTTTATCTTGGGCTGTAATTCTGCTTGGTGGTTTCTTCTTACCAAATATTATTCCCATATTAATTATTTTATAGGAATATTATTTAAATATAAATTACTAAAATAAAAACGTAACTAATTTTCACCTTATCATTTGACAACTTATCACACGTGAAGTTAGCTTTATTTACATATCTGCAATGACATTATTTGTGCCAAACTTCACTCTATAAAATATAACCTCACATTTTTCTGTGATGTTTACATCTGTTTCTCGCGGTTTTTCTGTATTTTATTATTAAAAAATGAGTGAATTAAGCCCCGCAGACTTCTACTTACCCGGCGAAATAATAAGAAATCTCAAATCTAAAGACAGAGAAGTTATAATCGGTCCAGGACTGTGTAGAAACGAATCAGACACAAAGAGTTTAATAGCCTCACAAGCTGGATATCTGTGTTTTAGGGCCCCAAATACATACTGGTTAGAAGGACGAAGGAACAGATATATTCCTAAGAAAGCAGATCTAGTACTAGGTATTGTGACAAAGAAGTCATCAGATAATTTGAAGGTTGATATCGGTAGTGCTGAATCAGCGTCACTGTCGATGTTAGCGTTTGAGGGGGCTACAAAAAAAGTTAAACCTGATGTGAATGTTGGTGATGTGATTTACGCCAAAGTAATCAACGCCCACAAAGAAATGGAACCTGAATTAGTCTGTATCGATCAGTATTACAAGGCTGGCAAGTTAGGAGTGTTATCGAACGAAGGTTTTGTAATAAATTTGAAACAGAAACTTATTCAACAAATGTTGAACCCAGAAAATCCCTTATTAAGGACCCTAGGAAGGAAGTTTCCTTACGAAATTGTTATTGGAGTTAACGGAAAAGTATGGATGCGAGCAAATCAGTGTAAAGATGTACTGACTTTATGTCGAGCTTTTCAGATAGCCGAATATCAAAAAGAGACTGATATTATTGGTATTTGTAGACAATTTAAATAAAACTCATTCATTAAAGGTATGTAGTTTTATTTAATTAATGTTTAAGCTACAACAGAATTTGCTGTTCAAGGTAATTGATAATTTTTCTTTGAATTTACAAAATCCATTAGATTTTTTATAATGGTAATTAGCAAGGTTGTCAGATTATCGACGTTTTTGGTCATTAATTATATTGATTAATTATAAGGCTAATTGTATTAAGGTGTGAAGGTATTACAGTAAATAAATTTCGAGTAATTATGTTTACATATAATTGTATAATCTTAATAAAATACTTACCAAATAATTGTGATTTTTACACTTTTTCATATGGGATTTTAAGAATAATAACAAAATTTGGCAACAATGTTGTTAATCTCACGTGCGAAAGAAATCAAAGATCAAGGACGCTTTACGTCAAACAATTTGACGTAACCTCTTTCGACTACATTCACAATTTCAAACAATAATTTATTTACATTCTTCTCTTTGTTAATTTACGTGGTACAGAAAAAGACAACAGTTCGAGTATTATTCTTGTTAATTCTGGAACGCGTATGATTTAAACTGAAATTTTAGAAAGTGCAAATGATATGATCACTTCATGTTCCAAAGGTTTTTTCTGTCTGTATAGTTGTGTCTTACATTTTACATTGTGCAATTAGTATAGTTAATTTATTTTAGTAGATAAGGTTTTGTCTCATCGATTTAAAAGTGTGAAATCATCCTTACATTCGGTTATATCGCTGATATACTTCGCATCGATCGCAATGAGTAGTGAAATTGTAACTAATGGAAAATCTAAAGGTAATTAGGTATAATTTTTATATAAATAATATAATTAGAGGTATAAATCATTAATAATAGGTATTTTTATATCTGTCATCAACTAATAATAAGTTATTTAATTATTTAAATATAATTTTATGCCCAATTATTTTTATTAGAAATTAGTTTTACAAAATAGCTTATTTTTTACAGATGAAAATCTTGAAGAATTGAATGATTATGAGGAAATAAGGATTCCTGTGCCATGGGGTCATATTGCAGGTAAAAAATTATATATTTTTATTATTTCACACACTAGTCTAGGAGTAGGTATATTGCTTCTACCATACGATCATAAAAAAATCGGCGTCTGAGACGACTGTGAAATGAATATCTATGGTAATTTTCGACGAGGTCAAGCTCTAGACGTCATTTATTTAACCTGTACTTTTCTTTATTTTTTAATGGCCCTTAAGTTTGTAATTTATTTTTATATTGAGTAAAAATGGTTTTTACACATTTATTTTTTAGTTAATTTTTGACAAGTTTTATGTCAATGACGTCTAGAGATTGACCTCGTCAAAATTAGCATTGATTATCAGTCCCCAGCCGTCTTTGACGCCGTTTTTTTTTCGATCATACAGTATTATAATTTTGTCCAGGTCACAAACCTATAAATTTCATATTTATTTATATTTTAAGTACCTCATATCAGTCAAGTTTATTATTAAATAAAAAATATTATTTAAAGTGGGTAGTTATTTAATAATAATAGTCTAACTTAAGTAAATGTTTTTGTTTAATTATAATCTAGAACAATGGGGAGTTTAGAGTTGTTTAAATAAGTGTCTGTGAAAGATAACAAGACAAAAATAATTTATTTTAAAATGTGTGTGTGGAATTTTTCAATTATTCTTGTAGAAAATGATTTTATTTTGTCTGTAACTATAAATCCTTATCAACAAACCTAGACATTACTTTGAAATATAATACTTTAAGTTAAGATACTCAAATAATACATACCTATATAGTTTGTCTTAAGTAAGAAAATACTATTTTAACTATAGGAAAATGGTGGGGTTCTAAATCAGTCCAGCCAATCATTGCCCTACATGGTTGGCAAGACAACAGCGGCACTTTTGACAAGCTGGCCCCCATTTTGAAGTCAGCTGGATACTCTTTACTGTGCATTGACCTGCCTGGACATGGCCTGTCATCACATCTACCTCAAGGTGAGTAATAGTAAAATAATTTGGGGTTGTTGTCATTTATTTTATAGATAGTTTTTTTATCAGTAATTGTATAGATTTGCAAATAAACTTTTATTAACATGGTAGACTTGATAATGTCAAAAGAGAGATCACTGTCATTTTATATGTCAAATTATATGGTGAATGTTATTGGTGTTCATTTTCAAGCCAACTGGACGCCGTTTTTTTTTTCGATCATACGGTATTTTGTAAATTAGTATTTCGTTTTTAATACAAGGCCTACCACAGAACATTTTTATGTCTGCTGTCTAGGTTTATAATGTTTAAAAATCAGTGTTGCCATACAAGATGTCAATAATTAATGTCAAAACGAAGGAAAATTCTCAAGATTTACGTCATATTAAGATGTTAGTTAACATTTTTTATTCCGTAAATTCTTTTGAGTACTTTTTAATATAATTTAGTAGAAAATAATTTGATTTTAATTGAGAAGATATTTTTTAAATAAAAAAAAATATTAAGAAAAAAAATGGACAAAAAAAGTACACTGTTGTTTTGGAAATAAGATGAAATACCTGTTAAATATATTTAGGAATAATAAGTATGAAATTCTAGAATATTGAATTTTAATTCATGACCAATACATCTACAGGGTTGTTCACCACATACGACACGGAGTATTGTAGCTAAACGATGAGATTTTTACAAATTGTAAGTTTGGGGTTCGTTGAAGGACTATTAAAGCTACAATTTAAAAATATTTTTACAAGATACAGAGTGTCCCAAATAAATAAAAAATATCAAAGTTGTATTTTTTTAAATGGAACACCCTGTATATTATTACATTTTTAGTTTCTACGATTAAAATAAAGGTAAATTTGATTAAGATTTATTATACTTAAACCTTACCGTTTTTGAAATATTTTCAATTTTGTGAAATTGCAGTAAAATTTTTAAAGCTTCATTTCTCCAAGGGTATCAATGTTTTTAATACTAAATATTTAATGAAGTTTATTTATTGATCAGTTATTATGTTGCAATAATAAAAATAATACTACCTTATACAGAGTGTCTAAAAAATTTATTTTAAATAATTATTAGCTTCAAACGGCAATAACTTCTTTAATTTAAATAGAATGCCCTGTATATTTTAGGAGAATCAGATGCACAATTAAATTGTCTATCAAATTGTATTATACCATTTTTTACCTATCCCATCAAGTTTTCGTAGAAAATGCATTTTCTTATAATTTAGACCTCATTTATCAATATATCCATGGAATATTGACATTTTAGATTGTTTTTAAAGCAACAAATGTACAAAATGTACAGACTAGTAATATTATCGTTTTTAACAAAACGATAATATTACTAGCCCATTTGTATGCAAAAAGAAAACTATTTAAATCTTTATAAAAGAGTATACCATTAATTAAATATAACACCATTATTTCCGCCCATATACTAATTAATTACATACTTAATTGTGTTCGTTAATAAATTATTATAAATAAATCTGGATTTGAGTCAGAAATCAATATAATTATAAGTTATCAAATTAAAGTCTCTGTTGTTATAAATAAGCATTTATTAAAAAATGAAATATCATTTTTAAGGTGTTACTTTTTATCACACTGTCTAATGCCCATACAAAATTCAGTTTTTTAGTATTTGGAGCAATTATTATTAATCAACGCAAACAGTCAGTTAATGTAGTTTGAATACTGGAATCATATTAATTGGTCCTCTTTAACAAATATTTAAACAGTTTTTTTTATTTTTAATGAAATAAACGAATTATATCGACAATATTAGTATCTGTACTCTTTAAAAATTTGGTACATCTTTAAAAATAATCTAAAATGTCAATAGTCCATGGGTATATTGATAAATAAGTTCTAAATTACAAGAAAATGCATTTTCTACGGAAACTTAGAGAGATAGGTAAAAAATGGTATAATATAATTTGATAGACAATTAAATTGTGCATCTGATTCTCGTAAAATATACAGGGTGTTCTATTTAAATTAAACAAGTTATTGCCGTTTGAAGCTCATAATTATTTAAAATAAATTTTAGACACTCTGTATAAGGTAGTATTATTTTTATTATTGCAACACAATAACTGATCAGTAAATAAACTTCAGTAAATATTTAGTATTAAAAACTTTGATACCCTTGGAGAAATGAAGCCTTAAAATTTTTACTGCAATTTCACAAAATTGAAAATATTTCAAAAACGGTAAGTATAATATAATAAATCAAATTCAAATTTACCTTTATTTTAATCGTAGAAAATAAAAATGTAATAATATACAGGGTGTTCCATTTAAAAAAATACAACTTTGATATTTTTTACTTATTTGGGACACTCTGTATCTTGTAAAATTATTTTTAAATTGTACCTCTAATAGTCCTTCATCGAACCCCAAACTTACAATTTGTAAAAATCTCATCGTTTAGCTACAATACTCCGTGTCGTATGTGGTGAACAACCCTGTATATTTACGTTAGAAACAAAGAACACGTAATGGAAAGGCATATACATACAATACCTATTATGTATAATGTTAATATGTTGTTAAATTAGGCACTCAACTTTTCATATGAATGATTCCTATATCCCTAATTTCATTATAATTTATTAGCTATTTTAAGTAATGGAATAATACTTAGTTTTAACATGGATACTTATACAGGGTGGTCCGAACTGTATACCGGAAATTTCGGCAGCATATTCTGTAGATAAAATAAGTAAAAATGTATGTCCTAAATTGCTTAGTTTCGGAGATACAGGGTGTAGAAATTTCATTTTTATTTCGATTTTTTCCAAATAATTTCTGAAGGAACGTCAATATTTGGATGAAAATTTGCGCCTTGGAGTTTTTTGACATGAGAAATTTGATTTTGATGTCAATATGACTCCTACTTGTAGAGGGCGCCACCTACATATTTTTAACTGGTTTGAAGAGTTTGAGAACTTTTCGTTCATACCTGTATAAAACTACCAAGTAAAAAAATATACATTTATGACGTTTTTTACGTAAAAAAGGTCTCTTGGTAAAAATCGCTACGAGTAATGGTACTTATTTTTAAATTTAAGTTAGTATTCTTAAGTTTCCGGAATACAGTTCGGACCACCCTGTATATTTTACGTCATTTGTATACGCCATATATGGTATATAATAGTTTATACAGGCCTGGAAACATTAAATACATAGTCATACTTGCTTTACAATGAATTCCATATACAGGGTTGTTCACCACATACGACACGGAGTATTGTAGCTAAACGATGAGATTTTTACAAATTGTAAGTTTGGGGTTCGATGAAGGACTATTAGAGGTACAATTTAAAAATATTTTTACAAGATACAGAGTGTCCCAAATAAATAAAAAATATCAAAGTTGTATTTTTTTAAATGGAACACCCTGTATATTATTACATTTTTAGTTTCTACGATTAAAATAAAGGTAAATTTGATTAAGATTTATTATACTTAAACCTTACCGTTTTTGAAATATTTTCAATTTTGTGAAATTGCAGTAAAAATTTTAAAGCTTCATTTCTCCAAGGGTATCAATGTTTTTAATACTAAATATTTAATGAGGTTTATTTATTGATCAGTTATTATGTTGCAATAATAAAAATAATACTACCTTATACAGAGTGTCTAAAAATTTATTTTAAATAATTATTAGCTTCAAACGGCAATAACTTCTTTAATTTAAACAGAATGCCCTGTATATTTTAGAGTCAGATGCACAATTAAATTGTCTATCAAATTGTATTATACCATTTTTTATCTATCCCATCAAGTTTTCGTAGAAAATGCATTTTCTTATAATTTAGACCTCATTTATCAATATATCCATGGAATATTGACATTTTAGATTGTTTTTAAAGCAACAAATGTACAAAATGTACAGACTAGTAATATTATCGTTTTTAATAAAACGATAATATTACTAGCCCATTTGTATGCAAAAAGAAAACTATTTAAATCTTTATAAAAGAGTATACCATTAATTAAATATAACACCATTATTTCCGCCCATATACTAATTAATTACATACTTAATTGTGTTCGTTAATAAATTATTATAAATAAATCTGGATTTGAGTCAGAAATCAATATAATTATAAGTTATCAAATTAAAGTCTCTGTTGTTATAAATAAGCATTTATTAAAAAATGAAATATAATTTTTAAGGTGTTACTTTTTATCACACTGTCTAATGCCCATACAAAATTCAGTTTTTTAGTATTTGGAGCAATTATTATTAATCAACGCAAACAGTCAGTTAATGTAGTTTGAATACTGGAATCATATTAATTGGTCCTCTTTAACAAATATTTAAACAGTTTTTTATTTGTTAATGAAATAAACGAATTATATCGACAATATTAGTATCTGTACTCTTTAAAAATTTGGTACATCTTTAAAAATAATATAAAATGTCAATAGTCCATGGGTATATTGATAAATAAGTTCTAAATTACAAGAAAATGCATTTTCTACGGAAACTTAAAGAGATAGGTAAAAATGGTATAATATAATTTGATAGACAATTAAATTGTGCATCTGATTCTCGTAAAATATACAGGGTGTTCCATTTAAATTAAACAAGTTATTGCCGTTTGAAGCTAATAATTATTTAAAATAAATTTTTAGACACTCTGTATAAGGTAGTATTATTTTTATTATTGCAGCACAATAACTGATCAGTAAATAAACTTCAGTAAATATTTAGTATTAAAAACTTTGATACCCTTGGAGAAATGAAGCCTAAAAATTTTTACTGCAATTTCACAAAATTGAAAATATTTCAAAAACGGTAAGGTTTAAGTATAATAAATCTTAATCAAATTTACCTTTATTTTAATCGTAGAAACTAAAAATGTAATAATATACAGGGTGTTCCATTTAAAAAAATACAACTTTGATATTTTTTACTTATTTGGACACTCTGTATCTTGTAAAATTATTTTTAAATTGTACCTCTAATAGTCCTTCATCGAACCCCAAACTTACAATTTGTAAAAGTCTCATCGTTTAGCTACAATACTCCGTGTCGTATGTGGTGAACAACCCTGTATTATACAGGGTACAGGGTGATCACACAGATGTCATTAAACATTTTCTAAAAATTTTTACAGGTAAGTAACTATACCATATTATGGTCTGTATTTTAACGCATGCCATAGAGATAAATATAAATGACCGGTTGACAGTCGAAGGGACAAAATAAAAAGCGGCACACAGTGATGCCGGTTTGAAATTTTTATGCAAAATCCGGCAATACCGCGTAGAAGAAATGTATCAACCCAACTTTCATCTTTTTTCAACACATTTGATTTGCCATTAAGCTGTTTTTTTTTAACAATTCTAATATAACGTAAAACAAAACCAGCAAATTATTGAGTGTATCCTACATAATATTTTTACCTTTTAAATCAAATTATAACGTAATGATAAACCGAAATTTCAACCATCTTAATTCACCATCGTGATCTACCTAAGTTTGTTGATATGGTCCTTCCTTAATCTTTTTATTCAAAGATTGATCATTTTTAAATGACAGTTTTTTTATCAGTAACTTTTTTAGTTAAATGACACTTTAGTAAGGATCATTTAATATTTTTTTTAGCAATTTATAAATTAATATACGTTTTCACTCAGCCTTTACTAAATAATTACCAACGATTACTAAAACACCATATAAAATTCTCGTATTATTTACATACATACACATAAAACAGACTGATCACTATAAAAAGCATACAGTGTGTTCTAAAAAAGTAAAAAAAAGTACCGGAAGTGGTTATCAATTAGATTATTTTAAATATAAACTATACTTTCGATATCTAAGATTGGCTGTTTTTTATTTTTTTTTTTAATTTTGTGACATTTTGTAGAGCAAAAGTAAATTATACATTTTTCAGCAGTGATGTGTATTTTTATACAAGATTTTGCCCTACATAAATGTGTATGGTAATTAATTAAATATTATACAGGGTGCTGATAAAATTACTTTCAAAAAAGTACAGGGTGGGTCAAATTGGACGCTTTTAAATGGAAACACACTTTTCTATAGGAGATGTACACACTACAGGTGTTCGACATATCGACCGTCTTCTGTTATGGACAGGGCAGTTTTCGAACATTTCTCGCGGAATTGATTAACTCAGTAGGGGTGAAAGATACACCCTCTCATAACTGCTAAGTATTTCTAATTCTTGTCTAGATTATACGGAAGAATAAGCAACCTTTATTCTTCCGCAAATATATCCATAGGATTAGATCCATGGGCACTAAGTCAGGTGGCCTCGACGGCCAACGGCTGGGATCTTGGTTAGCTATTCAATTATTCTTGAAACTGGCTGAATATAATTCCATTAAGGGCATATCAACAATAAGGGGTCCAAAGCCTACTAGCACAGAATATCTAGTTGCGTAGCTAGATATTCTGTGCTACTAGCCTTGTTTATATATTCTTATATACAAGGCTACTAGTTAAAAGTGGCGAACTTTTAAAATTTCTGTATTTCGAAGGGGAGTATAACAAAATATCAAGTGTGCTACATTTTTGGAAAGGTAATTTTAAATTCTTTTTAGTTAATTAAAAATATAGAGGGTGTCCCAAATAAAAAATCAATTTTTCTGTTGATAACTCTTATATTATTAATTTTAAAAAAATTGTACTTAAACCATTAAATTCTACGTAAAAAGGTGCTTTGGAAATGTTTTCATAGAAATACAAAATTTTCCATAGTAAAAAAGTTACAGCGATTTGTTAAAAATGCACATTTTTGAAAAACAACCGGTAACTCCGAAACGGTAACAGATATTGATGTGCGGTTTTCACCATCATGTCTTTGAGGAAAATTGAGCTCCAGACACCAGTATTAGTTTTCGTCTATATCCTATAGAAAAGGGTGTTTCCATTTAAAAGCGTCGAATTTGACCCACCCTGTACAATAAGTCGACTGTTTCAAATGGAAACCTTCATTTCTATTCTTTTTATCTTGATTAATTGTTTTTCCATTGTAATCTACCTAACTTTTGTCAAGGTTTTTTGTAAATTGCACACCATTTTGTTAATTAATAAACTCGATAAAGGGTATTGTTTAAAACAGATAAAGGGTATTGTTTAAAAATATTACTGTTTCTGTATTTAAACAATCATAGACATTATATTATTTGTTTATATAAAAGCTTTAAAAAATCGCATGATATTAAATATCTAGGATCATTAAATAATTCTAAAAATATTTTTCAAATAAAATTAAATATTGTAGGTGATTATTATCTGTTATTCTAAAGAGTATATACAATAATATTTGTTTTTTGCTTTTAAAAATGTGTAATTTTTCGATGTTACCCCCCATAAATGACAGAAAAAGATGTGTCTTTTCAGGTCATAAATACTATCTTTGGTGGGACGGCATACACTACTTAAGAAGAATAGTGAAACACTTCAAATGGAACGATGTAACTTTAATGGGACATTCGCTAGGTGGCGGTATATGTTTCCTGTATGCTGCAGTGTATCCAGATGAAGTTAAGAAGTATATTAGTATAGATATCGGTAAGTTAAATCAAATACCGGGTTGTTCACCATATACGACACGGAGACTACAATTCTCCGTGAACTCTTAAACGATTAGATTTTTACAAATTGTAAGTTTTGGGTTCGTTGAAAGACTATTAGAGCTACAATTTAAAAGTAATTTTGCAAGATACAGAGTGTCCCAAATAAGTAAAAAATATTATAGTTGTATTTTTTTAAATGGAACACCCTGTATATTATTCTATTTTTAGATTCTACGACTGAAATAAAGGTAAATTTGATAAGGTTTATTGCACTTAAACCTTACCGTTTTTGAAATATTTTCAATTTTGTGAAATTGCAGTAAAAAAATTAAGGCCTCATATCTCCAAGGGTATTAAAAGTTTTAATACTAAATATTTACTGAAGATTATTTATTGATCAGATATTATATTGCAATAATAAAAATTACACAACCTTATACAGAGTGTTCAAAAAATTATATTAAATAATTACTAGCTTTAAACGGCAATAACTTGTTTAATTTAAATGGGACACCCTATATATTTTACTTGAATCAGATGCACAATTTAATTGTCTATCAAATTGTATTATACCATTCTTTGCCTATTTCTTCAAGTTTTCGTAGAAAATGCATTTTATATTATTTAGACCTCATTTATCACTATACCCATGGAATATTGACATTTTAGATTTTTTTACACAGCAACATGTGTACAAAATATACAGGTGATAAAAATAATAATATTGTAAGCCCATTTCTTTACAAAAAGAAAACTATTTAAGTCTTTGTAAATAAGCGAATTATATCGACCATATTAGTATCTCTTTGTACTTAGTACTCTTTGAAAATTTGTTACATTTTTAAAATAATCTAACAACAAACAACGCTTTATTGTACAAAAAGCCAAAAACAGCTTCATCGACAAAGCACTCACAAACAACAAAATCACAATACTAAAATGTCAATATTCCATGGGTATAGTGATAAATGAGGTCTAAATTATAAGAAAATGCTACTTCTACAAAAACTTGAAGAGATAGGTAAAAAATGGTATAATACAATTGGATAGACAATTAAATTGTGCATCTGATTCTCGTAAAATATACAGGGTGTTCCATTTAAATTAAACAAGTTATTGGCGTTTAAAGCTAGTAATTATTTAATAAAATTTTTCATCTCTACACCCTGTATAAGGTAGTATTTCGTTTATTATTGCAACACAATATCTGATCAATAAATAAACTTCAGTAATTATTTAGTATAAAAAACTTAAATACCCTTGGAGAAATGAAGCCTTAAAATTTTTACTGCAATTTCATAAAATTGAAAATATTTCAAAAACGGTAAGGTTTAAGTGTAATAAACCTTAATCAAATTTACCTTTATTTTAATCGTAGAATCTAAAAATATAATAATATACAGGGTGTTCCATTTAAAAAAATACAACTATAATAGTTTTAACTTATTTGGGACACTCTGTATCTTGTGAAAATATTTTTAGATTGTAGTTCTAATAGTTCTTCAACGAACCCAAACCTTACAATTTGTAAAAATCTAATGGTTTAGCTACAATATTCCGTGTCGTATGTGGTGAACAACCCTGTATATCATATTATATACCAATGTTTTTTTTTAATTTAGAGGAAATATTTTAACTGGTATGTAATATATTTTGATTCCGTGCCTACGAAATTTGCTATTTTTATTTAATTTTTTATGTATATTGTAGAAAACTTTTTACTGCCATTGATTCATCTGATTATAATTTTAATATATTTGCATATAGTTTAAAATTTCCTTTTTTATTGACGTTTACAAGTTACTATTGTTATTTTTTTTTTTAAATTGAGGTTTTTATAAAATGTAACAGTTTTTTTTTAGATCCATAGCAACCATTTTAAATTGCCTATTGTAATATAAAATTTTAATGTTTAATATTAATGAAAGTGATAAAATGAATAAGTTTTTTATTAAACAATTTGACTAATTATTATGTTTGGAATATTAAATTTTTTTTTCGAATTTTTGAATAGGAAGTGATAGAAATATGTCTGTCTATAGATAAAAATTCATCTCAAATGCTGATTTCCGTTTAAAATCAAATTTTAAAGTCATATTATATTTTAGATAACATATTAAAAGATAACATACTAAATTTAAATGAATTTAAAAATATAAATCGCCTTGATAAGACCAATTTAATAGTGTTCATATAAAATATTTTTTCGGACATCCCTTTCGTAGTTTCTATCAAGTGTTTTAGTTGGTGTCCTGTGTCCCATGAATGCTAACAAATCTTAGATTTGTGAAAATCGCCCGTTCTTAAATAATCTTTATGTTCTTTAATTCTAACATTTATGGGTCTAGACATATATTTTTTCTACAGGGTAGTTATGTATATTTTAGACTAACTTTTAAGTGTCCTGTTCATAGACTTAAAATAAAATATAGACTGAGCATCTCATTCATAAATAGCTGGAACATGCGGTCAGACACTGTCTTGTTATTGTTGTGTTATTGTTTTAGGTTATAACGAGTGCGACACGAGCGATAGATAGGTTGTCTCTGTCGTAACGGTCGTTCCCTGACAACTCTGCCGAGAAACACAACACTGTCTTTCGTTTTTCAAGTACACCTGAACTCTCCGTATCATAGCCGGGTATTTTTTTATTTTAATGAAGCTATAATTAAATTAAAAATGTATCGTATTTAAACTTTTTTATATTTTATTAAGATTTAGGACAGGTTTTTTAAATAAAAGTTTAGAAAAAACAATTTCAAAGAGTCCAAAAGGATAAAAAATAATAAAATACACGTTATAGAAGAAATTTTATAATCGAAATTGCGTAATTTTTGAAATTAATAATAAATTATTAATTTTAGTCCAACATTTGCAACCCCTAATATTAATCAAAACAGGATCTATTCCACAGATATAATAGAATCGGCGACAGGGAGAGAAAAAAATATGATTGTTGTAATTTTTTTTCTGGATAAGTGATGTCTTATTATGTAAATTAGAGAAAACATAAATCTGTTCCATTAAAGCAGGGAAGGTGATAGGAAGTGGATAAAATAGAAACTACATTTATTCAACTCGGTACTGTCTTTATTATACCGGGTGCGTCCCAAAAGTGGCCCATCCCCATAATTTGTTTACATTTTCAAATAAAAAAACAAGATTTAGTATGTTAGTATATGAAATAAATTAGGATTGATTGACGCATTCAATTGTTTTTGGTCACTTCCTGTTTCACCGGAAATGACTATAACTTTTAATTTTTAAACGGCACCCTCGGTATATTTCTACTTTATTCGATAGAAAATGACACTCTGAATAGAATGACATATCATATGTCAACTTTTGACATTTTCGCATATGATTTAATTGTAATTGTAACACGCGGTTCATAACGACAATTTGACTCGAAATATTCGGTGGTATCAATATATTCATAAAAAAATGCTTTTTCCAAATATGCTAATGAGTCACCCTTGTTCCAGTTGAAAAAATTGACATATGTATGATTAAAAATACGATTTGTACATCTTTTAACCGGCCTATACAAGACACGAAACCTATTAGACGATCAAAACTATTTTTCCAAGGTTCCTTGATTAAAACTTAGTGTTTTTAACAACACCATGGCACCCTGGATTGAAATTTAAAATACGATTTATTTTTAAGCGACAACGTCAAAAGTTGACATATGATATGTCATTCTATTCAGAGTGTCATATTTTATCGAATAAAGTAGCAATATACCGAGGGTGCCTTTAAAAATCAAAAGATGTAATCATTTCGGTGAAAAAGGAAGAGACCAAAAACAATTGAATACGTCAATAAATCCTAATTTATGTCATATACCTACTAACATACAAATCTGTTTTTTTTTATCTGAAAAAATAAAAAAGTTATAGGGGGTGAGCCACTTTTGAGACGACCCGGTATATTAAAAATATTGTTTCATAATGTAATATAATTTTAAAAATTCTTGTATGTTATTTTAGATTCTGAAGATAATTTTAGAATAAACCGGAAAATATTTTAATAAAAACATTATTAATTATTAACAGGGTTATAATTATGATTTTGTTACAATGTAAGTAAGTAAATAATGTAATGTAAGAGAAAAAATTCAGATTTTACATTTTACTAAAATATTATCTAAATAAGCGCCTTTCTACAACAACGCCACTGACTCCCAATGGGTAAATTGAGAGTTGCCTACCGGTCGAAAGTCGTTTCAAGACTTAAATGGATTATTTAAGTCAAATTTCTTGCAAATTTGGCACTGGCGAACCATATTTTATAGTTCGTGAACAGAAAATCTCAATAAAATAAACACTTAAGGACTACAAGCTAAGAAAATGCGTTAATACAGCCGGGGACATAGCGGCAACAAAGTTTTACCGCACACGTGCGACGCGTACTACAAGGTAATAAATGAATTAATAGGCTCCCTCGTCTCTAATCGGTGTTGTCATATTGTAAAGAACTTATCCTTTTTAAACAGTATCCGACTTATAATTTAGTAGTATAAGGACTATTTAATACATCTATGGAATATTAAAACCTACTTTATTAAACTGTAGTATTAATATCTCAATATATGTGTGTAACAAGAAAAAAAATATTGATAATATTAAAGACGTGACAACATAGGCTGGATGAGGAAGGCTCGGTCGACTGTACCCAGAAGTAAACATGTATACAAAAAAGATTGTTTGACCGCGTTGAGATGTAAATAGTGTAGTCTATATTTTATTTTAAGTCTATGGTTCTGTTCTTTTGTGATTGATCTGTTGCTTCGTTCTGTTCAAAGCATATTTTCTTTCTTTCTTTAGCTAGTCCGTCTGTAAGAGACATAAAACGTTCCTGTGATGTATTGGGTGGAGCTGTTGATAAATTTTTGGCCTACGAAAATTTAACACCCGATCAAGTTCCTTGCTATTCTTATGAAGACATGTTAGATATTTTAGAAGATGCCCACAAAGGTAATTCTTTTAGTGTTACTATTTTTCAGTAACGCTTACAATATATTAACTACTACTCAAATATTCATATGAATAAAAATACAATAATGTACAGGGTGAGTCAACGATGATGGAGTAAAGTTCATTATCTCATTTGTTTCGAGGTTTACCAAAAAACGTTAAATATAAAAGTTATAGGGAAGGTTAAGATACGCATTTTAAAATTATTGTAGAGTATACAGGGTGCTTCAAAAAAGTGTGGCGAATATAACGTATGTTTTTTTTAAATGCAATACTTTTATTTTATTTTTAGATTCTGCGTAAAATTCTATAAATTTTTCATATATAATGTTATATACCTAAAATTAATAGCTTTTGTAATACATATTTCAGTTTGTTTGAACAAATGTTAGATTTCAGTGCGGTAAAAAATTGTCAGTGATGCCACTGTTTCTGAAGTTGGAAAACTAAAATTTATAGGAGAATTTTATAGAAACGAAGAAAAAGATATATGTAAAGATATTTTAGTTAGAGATATGACAGGGAGATGAAAATATATTTATGAATTTGAATTACTTAAATTTAAAAAATCTCAAATTTTTTAAATGGCATGACAAAAGTTGTAAAATCGGAAAACCTAAAAAAATATAGGGTGTACCATCTAAAAATTTTTAGAATATTTAATTTTAATTAGTTGAAATTTATAAATATTTTTGAACACCTTGTAGCATTTAACTAAAATATCTTTACATATATTTTTTTCATCTCTATATAACTCTCCTACCAAATTTTGATAGTCCAACTTCACAAACAATGACATCACTGACAGTTTTTTATCACACTGAAATCTAACATTTGTTTTAACAAATTCAAATATTACAAAAACTATTAATTTTAGATATAAGTAAAGTATATAGAATTTTACGCAGAATCTAAAAATACAATAAAATATATGGTGTTTAAAAACATATGTTATATCCGCTACATTTTTTGAAGCACCCTGTATACTCCATCATAATTTTAAAATGTGTATCTTAAGCTTCCCTATAACCTTTATATTTAAATTTTAAAAAAAAAACATTTTTTGTAAACCTCGTAAACAAATGAGATAACGCACTTTATCTATCGTTGACTCACCCTGTATATGAGAATTTTCGACGAATATATACTTCAATGTCAATTAATATATTCACTTACGTCAGCAATTTAAATAAATGAAATGACCTACAGGGGAAAAAAGCAACGACTTTCTGGTTTGCTGTTAAAAAAAAATAAAATCGACATAATGAGACACGTATATGTTTGTATATTTTATAAAACAAATTATTTTTTTTCTTACATTGTTTTTTAGGTAGGATACGACTTGTTAAATATAATTTAAATTGCTTTTGGTAAAAACGAATACCTTCAAAGGTTACATTACGCCGGTTTTAGGTCAAATTCCAGCATTATTTTACACAGTTAATGAGTGGTATGCCCCCATAGATACCCAAACCCAAAATTAAATAATTTAAATAACAATAAATAAAAGTTTCTAGGTGTATCATATTTTTTCAATTTGAATTTAAGAGAACTAAAAAAATATATTAAAAATTAAAATTAGATTTAACTTTTTTTTGTATTTTATAGTTCTTTTTTAAATCTATTTAAATATTGTGCATTATTTTAAAAAACGAACAAGTTTTTTTATCCTTGTTTTGAAAAAGTTTACTAAATGTTTTTTGAAACTAGAGGTTTATTATTTTTAATGTCAATTGACAGGTTATACCTCGATAATATTGCTATAATCTCTATTCTACTTATTAGTTATCTGCGCTACACAATATAATAGCGTGCACAAAAAAAACATATTTTTTTAGTTACCATGAAAATATCGTCGTTCAGTATTATGAAAAAAAAAAATTCTGGTAAAATTTGAGCTCTTAATATTGATATTAAGAGGTGTCTTATTGTGATTTTCTATTTTCCATTTAAATAACACGGGGAAACAATTTTTTTGGAATTTTATTGCGTTCTAACAAATCAACATTTTATGAAAATCAACACATATTCTTATAGGAAATTGAACGGTCTTCAAAGAAGGTCTGATATGAATTTTCATTTAACCGACTCGTTTGAAAGTTATTGAAGTTTAAAGTTCAACTTCAAATTTTATATACTAACTTGCACAGTTTTTTATGTTTATCACGAAATAATGGCTGAAAACCATAAAATATCATATTTTATCACGAAATAATGGCTCAAAAACATAAAATGTCATATTTTATCATGAAATAATGACTCAAAAACATAAAACATCATATTTTTTACGAAATAATGGTTCAAAAACATAAAATATCATATTTTATCATGAAATAATGACTCAAAAACATAAAACATCATATTTTTTTACGAAATAATGGCTGAAAACATAAAATATCATATTTTATCCAGAAATGAAGGTTCAGAAGCATAAAACATCATATTTTTTTACGAAATAATGGCCCAAAACATAAAACATCATGTTTTATCACGAAATAATGGATCAAAAACATAAAACATCATATTTTTTTACGAAATAATGGCTCAAAAACATAAAATATCATATTTTATCAAGAAATAATGGTTCAAAAGCATAAAATATCATATTTTTTACGAAATAATGGCTCAGAAATATAAAATATCATATTTCATCAAGAAATAATGGTTCAAAAGCATAAAACATCATATTTTTTACGAAATAATGGCTCAAAAATATAAAATATCATATTTTATCAAGAAATAATGACTCGAAAACGTAAAATATCATATTTTATCACGAAATAATGGATCGAAAACATAAAATATCATATTTTATCATGAAATAATGACTCAAAAACATAAAACATCATATTTTTTTACGAAATAATGGCTCAAAAACATAAAATATCATATTTTATACAGAAATAAAGGTTCAAAAGGATAAAACATCATATTTTTTTACGAAATAATGGCTCAAAAACATAAAACATCATGTTTTATCACGAAATATTGGATCAAAAACATAAAATATCATATTTTATCATGAAATCATGGTTCAAAAACATAAAACATCATATTTTTTACGAAATAATGGCTCAAAAATATAAAATATCATATTTTATCAAGAAATAATGACTCGAAAACGTAAAATATCATATTTTATCACGAAATAATGGATCGAAAACATAAAATATCATATTTTATCATGAAATAATGACTCAAAAACATAAAACATCATATTTTTTTACGAAATAATTGCTCAAAAACATAAAATATCATATTTTATCCAGAAATAAAGGTTGAGAAGCATAAAACATCATATTTTTTTACGAAATAATGGCTCAAAAACATAAAACATCATGTTTTATCACGAAATAATGGACCAAAAACATAAAATATCATATTTTTTTACGAAATAATGGCTCAAAAACATAAAACATCATGTTTTATCACGAAATAATGGATCAAAAACATAAAATATCATTTTATCATGAAATAATGACTCAAAAACATAAAACATCATATTTTTTACGAAATAATGGCTCAAAAATATAAAATATTATATTTTATCAAGTAATAATGGTTCAAAAGCATAAAGCATCATATTTTTTATGAAACAATGGCTCAAAAATATAAAATATCATATTTTATCAAGAAATAATGACTCAAAAACATAAAATATCATATTTTATCACGAAATAATGGATCGAAAACATAAAATATCATATTTTTTCTTTTTGAGCAACGCAACGGCTCAAAAATAAAAATTTCGTGATAAAACATAAAAATTATGTTTTCATATACGATTTTGAAGTTGAACTTTAACCTTCAATAACTCTCAAACGAGTCGGTTAAATGAAAATTCATATCAGACCTTTTTTGAAGACCATTCAATTTCCTATAAGAATATGTGTTGATTTTTACAAAACGCTGATTTGTTAGAACGCAATAAAATTAAAAAAACTTGTTTCCCCGTGTTATTTAAATGGGAAATAGAAAATCACGATTAGACACCTCTTTAGTATTAATAATTATTAGAGCTTAAACTTTACCATAATATTTTTTCAAATCATCCTGAACGATATTTTTACGATAACTAGAAAGGAAAAACAAGTATTTTTTTTGGTACACCCTAATATATATATATATTATATTGTTGAATTTTATATTCTAATATGTAGTGTACCAAAGAATCTCACACATTTTCTAGGTTCAATTAATAAAGAAAGCTGTGAAATTTTATTGAAAAGAGGTATGAAACCTGCAGGGGACAAAGATGGGTATACTTTTACCAGGGATCCGCGACTGAAGTTGGCAGCTTTAGGGTTTTTAACTTTAGACCAGGTCTTGGAGCTTGCTTCTAGGATCAAATGCGAGGTAAACATTATTTTATTACTTCATCATCATACAGAAAATTTAATATTTTTACTACTTGCGTTGATATTGGCTATTATTAAGTATGAACATTTTAAGTACCTACTTAATTTGAGCTTTATTATTCTTTCATTATCTTTTTTATTAATTTTATTTACCTATATATTTTAATCTTGAACAAATTGACAACACAGCGCACGTATTTCTTTTAATACGAGATCTAAATTATAAGAAAATGCATTTTCTACGAAAACTTGAAGAGACAGGTAAAAAATGGTATAATACAATTTGATAGACAATTAAATTGTGCATCTGAATCACGTAAAATATACGGATGTTCCATTTAAATTAAACAAGTTATTGCCGTTTTAAGCTAGTAATTATTTAATATAAATTTTTGGACACTCTGTATAAGAAAGTATAATTTTTATTATTGCAACACAATATCTGATCAATACATAATCTTCAGTAAATATGTAATATTAAAAACTTTGATACCCTTGCCTTGGAGAAATGAAGCCTTACATTTGTTTACTACAATTTTACAAAATTGAAAATATTTCAAAAACGGTAAGGTTTAAGTATGATAAACCTTAATCAAAGTTACCTTTATTTCAATCGTAGAATTTAAAAATAGAATAATATACAGGGTGTTCCATTTAAAAAAAAAATACAACTATAATATTTTTTACATATTTGGGACACTCTGTATCTTGTAAAATTATTTTTAAATTGTAGCTCTAATAGTCCTTCAACGAGTCCAAAACTTACAATTTTGTAAAAATCTAATCTTTTAGCTACAATACTCGTATCGTATGCGGTGAACAACCCTGTATAAATAATAACCAAACTAATTTTGGAGTGAAGCAACATTCAGAAACACAATGCTTCAGCTCTTCCATTTAACTCCTAATAATCACTAATACTTTTTGATCTTCCCCTATAGCACAGAATATCTAGCTACGCAACAGAAAAATACTCGAAATGAAAGAGCTAATACAAAACATATACATTTTTAATATACACTACCTTATAATGCTAACTAAGAAAATAAATTTAATTACCTTTAAAATTAATAATATACAGGGCGATGGATAGTGATATTTATTAATGCTGGAACGTTAGTAATGAAATATAAGTTTAATAATAATGGAAATAATTTATTAAAATGCAGTACAAAAAATGTTAACTGACTAAAAAATACTATAATAACAAATTTCTTCCGTTTGCCACGTTATTTATATAGACCTAGGTAGATTTTAAAAAAGTGACACAGGTACAATTAATAATATATTAGTTCGGCATAAAAGTTGCTGTCACGACATCGAACAATAAATTAAAATTCGTAAAATAAATTAAAATTATTAATTAAACATATTTTTCCACAACCCCCTCAATATGGGTATACCAAATGAAAGGGCTACACTAGTAGAATACTGTGATTATATCAAAATTTGTAATATAAGATGGACGTCGTTACAAAATGGCGTATTAGGTGAGGGCATGATATTGCATGTCCAAGATCCGTAGTATACCAAATTGTGACGTTAGAACGCCATGAAATGGTAGGTGATTATATGGTACCTATAGTTAGCGGTAGCACTTTACCACCCAAGTTAAGTTCAATATATTAAAATGTGCTGAGATACTGTATGGCATTAGGGTGGCTAAAATGTAATGTCGCAAGCGTTTTCCTCAAGATTGGGCGCCTCTTTTGTTGTATATCATAGCCTTGCCCCTCTACTGAACCTCTGGGGGTCGACCGTTAAAATGTCCATTACTCGTGGGAACAACATGGAAACAATAAATAAAAAAACAAACAAAAATAAAAACGAAACTGCTATACAACGAAAAGAAGGCTCGAAAAGGCGAAAGAAAAGTATAGAACGAAACGTGCAAAAGAAAGTGAAATGAAACCTATAGTCGACTACAGAAACGAAGAGAACGGTTAGCAGCAGAAACACCTCATCAAAATGATGCCAGGTTAATAGCACAACGTGAGAGACAAAGGCAGCTGGTAGATGGTATTGAAACACCTGTACCTCATTAAAGTCCAGGCTATATCACAACGTGACATCATATTACAATGTAACCGAAGAAACACCTGAGTATCATAAGTCTAGGCTGGAACGCCATCAAACGAGAGACGTAATAGAGTTGTTAGCGTTATGGTACCTCCTGAGCGTCATGAGTCTAGGCTATTAATATCACCGCGATACAGTATCTCAAAGAGAGTTGTTAATCAGAAACGCCATGAGCGTCAGATTGTACTAAATTATCAGGTAAAAGATGTAATAATGATAGTACCAAATGAATTAAATAGAATGAGGAATATTCGGTGGCATTTCCAAGCTAAATACTAAAAACTAGAAAATAATGACTAAAAGCTATTTCCCGATTATACGATATGAACTTGGTATGAACACAATCGAACGTCAGGAAGTGGTATCATAATAGTAGAACAATACTTATTATATTGTCGCCGAATTACAATGAAAAATTCAGGATTCAATATTTCTGAACTAGAAGTTCAAAATACCTATTTGTTATTCATAAGATTCTAATTTTCAGTGCAAACTGAAAAAAAACCGTTCTAACTTAATATGTTTAACCGATGTTTTTAATATTTGAAGACAGGCTGTATCTTGTAAGTATTACGATCTAAATTGTAGCTCTAATAGTCCTTCAACGAGTTTTAAATTTTGTTTGTAAAAATGTTTTCTTTAAATTTATTGCTGTATATTATGCGGTGAACAACCCTACCACATCAAAATATCTAATTTGGAGTGAAGCAACATTCAGAAGCACAATGCTCCAGCTCTTCCATTTAACATGTAATAATCTTCTAATAGCTTTTGATCTTCCCCTATAGACATCAGATAGAACATGTCAGCAAAAATAATTATAGATTTTCTGCACCATGTTCATGCTCATTATCCCTACCTCCATGTCTCTATGCCGAGCCAGTGCCTTCTATTAAAAGATCAGCCTCCGGGCGAGATTTATGACGTCACGCTAGTTAGATATAACGGATTAATAAATATGTTGTAGAATACATGGAAAACATAATTATTCCTCAGATTTTTGGTTTGTATTTTAAAAATGATATAGTTTACATGAAATATACATAATATACAGTTAATAACTACAACATATATACTTATTTATAGTAATAAATACTTTGGCAAATAAACTATGAACCATACAAATGCAGCAAATGTTTTACAATATACAAATAATGTATTACATAATATATTGGGTAAAATGTAAATATATTTTAAATTTTGGGGTTTGAAAATCGATCTAATTTAAGAAAAAACATTCAATATCTACTAATAGTGATGTATTATTATTTGCATTCACAAAATTTATATGTATATTTTGCAAGTATCAATGTTCGAAAAATTATATTTACAAATAATACAATATCATCTAAAAAAAGGCGTCAGCGATGGCTATGAAATGAAGATCGCTGGCATTTTATATGTAAAATTATTCTAAAATTTTTGATTTTCTTGGGATTTTTAGGTTCGGGAAAAACGCTGATTTAAGTTTTCATTTGGGTTTTCATTATTTTTATTTGGTTTAAAAAAACGTTTCGGCTAACTATAGCCTTCATCAGTGTTGTGTCATATGAGAAAAATAGTGTCGAATATAATCCAAAAAATTACATATACAATATAATTCACACCTCATAATATTTACTGCAATTAATAAACTAATATAAACTAATCAAAACATGACCACATATTTTTTAAAATTATTATTCTTAACACTAAAATTATCTACATTGACTATGGAGTACGCAGTACGCAGTAAACATTATGTGCGTGGTATGAATATTTTATATGTAATTTTTTGGATTATATTCGACACTATTTTTTTCATATGACACAACACTGATGAAGGCTATAATGTTAGCCGAACCGTTTTTTTTTTAAACCAAATAAAAATAATGAAAAACCAAATGAAAACTTAATCAGCGTTTTTCCCGAACCTAAATCCCAAGAAAATCAAAAAATTTAGTATATTTAGAAACAAGATTCAAGAATATCAAATTTTCCAAGATTGTAAAATTCTAGTTAATTATTTTATGTGTACAGTTATTTAGGGCATGTCATCGATGTTCATTTCCAAGCCAACTAGACGCCGATTTTTTTCGATGATACGGTATAATTCTTACATAAAATGTAAATAACATTAGACCAATTAAAACAAATAAATATGAATTTCTTAGTATTTTTAGTAACACCTTTATTCTTAAAACTTAATTTTGTATTATGCAAATATACCAATTTTATTGTTATTTTATTCATATTGTATTCAGCCATCACTTAAATATTTGATATTAATTTGGTATTATAAATAATCAACACTATTCATTAAAAAATTACTGAACAAATATATGTTATGCTTGACAACTTGACATACATTATATATTATCCTTGTTTATATATTCTTAAAGTTGGTCAACCTCCTCGACAAAAATGCTGTCTCTGGTGAACAAAAATCGTAAAGCTTTAAAAGAATGAAGCATGTGATTAGGGACGGAGTCAAAATATCGATTATTTGCGGTATTTCCCTGAGAGTAATGTAATAATATAGCTCGGATTTTGCGAACTATAATAGGCTCAGCTGATTAAGAAATTTAAACAAACTCCAGTCGTATGATCGATCGAAAAACGGCGTCAACGATGGCTATGAAATGAAGATCGCTGTCATTTTATATGTAAAATTATATGGGAAATGTCATCGATCGTCATTTTCAAGCCAACTGACGCCGTTTTTTTTCGATCATACGGTATTATTTCATTGTTGATTTTCGATTATTTTTGCTGTTATTTTAAGGATTCTAAACCGTATTTAACAAAGAAATAACAAATTTCAATATATTGGTACATTAATGCTAATTACTGGTAATTAATAATATTTAAAAAAAGTTACATACACTTACTTTATTTCGATTTGACCCAGGGCTATAAAATTTTATTTCATTCTTCGATCATTTTATTCTAAATTGAGGTTTTACGAATTTAAGATAATTTTTTTTTTGAAAACAAAACGTTTATACAATTTTTTTCTTAATTAAAAATAAAACTTGGCACTTGTTTCAATAATATTATTTGACATTTAAATAAATATTATGTACTTAATACACCATTTAAAATCTTTATTACACGAAATCTTTCTTAGCGTAAAACATGGTCAGAGCCAAGTTTGCTTTAACTTTGTACCATATGAAAAAAAAACGGCGTCCAGTTGGCAGGGAAATGACGATCGACGACATTTCCCACATAAATTTACATATAAAATAACAGCGATCTTCATTTCATAGCCATCGCTGACGCCGTTTATTTTCGATCAAGAATTATAAAAACTGAAAATATCATTATGTTTTAACTCACAAAGCCCGTTAAACCATAAAATTTTCTAGTATATTGTTTTATTAGGAGTAAAAATGACACTTTTCGTGGCGAGACTGTAGGTTTGACATACAGCCGAAGCACAAAAGTCATTTTTACTCCGAATAAAACATGCTATTTTTTTCAAACGCCACAAATAATGTTTTAAACAATTTCAAACATTCCAAATAATATAAAAAATATTTAAAACTCATATCTTGTAAGTAATTATCATGATACAAAAAAACAAGGTATGATATTGCGCAGGTTGGTCACCACGACTTATGTCATTTTAATAATATATTTTCATACTTTTATGCTTAGGCGTAAAGTGCTTTACTTTTATGCCTAGGCGTTAAAATGACTTTTTTATATTGTCAATCACGTCGCAAAAATTAATACTTTTGTGACGTTTGAAAAAAAAATAATATTTTGAAACTAACTGGTATATTTTTCTGCCACAACAAAGTTATTATACAGTGATAAATGATAAGATCATATTGAAATACGCTACTGGGTAAAAAAAATTGGCTAAATTTTATCAATAATACTCCATTTCAAAAGTTATTTTCCAAAATAATTAATATTTTTTAATAATTGATTGCAATTAATATTATTTGACTAGTTTAATTTGATTAATTAATAAGACTAGATTAATTTCATTTAAAATAAATTTGATCAGATTTTTTTCGTATATTCAACTACCAGAAAAGTAGAAGGAAGATTATAATGTATCTATCACAATATTTAAAAGAACTACTACAATAATTATTAGAAGAAAAACAAAAAGAAAAAAATACCCAAATACCTTCACCTTCTACTCAACTACAAAATAAATGAATATAATCTCTTACAAGAACACTACACAAACTACTTCTTGTATTCTACACTAAACAAATTATCAAACTTATTAATTAATCAAACATAAAGAAAAATTAACCAAATTACCCCTTCACCTACTACTTAACTTCAAAATAAAATATAAAAACACTACTAAATTTCTTCTGGTAGTCTACACTAAACATTATAATCAAACTTAATAAATTAATCTAATTTTACATTACAACTACAAAGAAACAAGAAAATATTTTAAAACTACAAGAAATAAAACTTCGATACGTGCGACCAGTATAATAGATCAAGCGGACAAAGAATATAAAATACTTTAAAATGTGCATTCAGAAAGAAAAAATATCTCGAAAATTATCTAAACAAACATTTTTTTTTCTTATCAGTGAAAAACATCGACCTCGTCGGCCTTGCGGAATTTGTCGGGTATTTACAATGGTCGAATTGTATAATTACCAGCTTTTATAGCATATCTAATAGACAAAAAGTATCTGGTCGATTAGTAACCAATTGGCACAGTCCGAAAATTATCGATTTTTATTTTCTCTGTTTTTATTGGCCGCTTCAAAATTCAGAGTAACAAAAAATATTTTTCTCTAGTAAAAGACTGTGAAATACGCCCCGCCATCTGGTGCTTTACATCCATAAACGTCTTAGGTTGAGCTACTTTTAAAATTCATATACAAGGATATTATCAAACAAAAAAACCCATTCTTCTTTTAAACTGTATCAGTCTTGTCTCTACAAAAATCTTTTTAAAATTTCAACTCAAAATAATAATCTTTTTCATGATCTTTAATGCAACATATTCTTTATTTTTCCCAGATCATAATACCTACTTACGTGTTTGAATCTATCGAAGCTGAACCAACAACAGTTGAGTGGAGATTCCACAATATGAATAAAATAAACATAATTGTCCAGTTTTCATTAATACCATCATGGGAGAATATTAAATTCCAACGTATTACGACGTTGGTAATTGGTAGAATTACATTCCCTATCAGGTCAGATACCGACGTCGAGGCGACCCGAATCTGTATTCCCCATTTAGGTGCAAATAAGGGTCGTCAGGCGGTCGAACCGACGTTGGTACCCGACATCGGGTTTATTGGACGCGACGTATACCCGACGTTAGATAACGTCCAAATGCTACTTGGGTTTATTGATGAATTGTTAGAGTCTTAAAAAACACACATAAAAATCACGATGAGTAAAAAATGTATGGGCACTTTTAGGTTAAATCACTTACACAACGTGTAATTTTTCAATTTTTCTATTTTTTTATGCGAAACCGAGAGTGACCATATATCTGGTAGTAGTTTATGTCACTTAAACACCAATATAATTAGTTTTTTGCACTACAATAATAAATAATACCAAAAATCATAGAGTTAAAACCAAAAATCAACCGACAAAATATGAAACGGAATCTAACCCAATATCTAAGTATGTACAGCTGATGAAGTAAACAAAAGTCCGCCCCCAGGCTGATCTTTTAAAGAACGGCAGTGGCAGAGCCCAATAATTTGTCTATATTATATTTTTTTAAGGTTATGAACATAAGGGCCGTTCCTGGCTACAAATTTGACGTTCCCGACCACTACGACATAGTTCTGGACAAAATCCAGGAAAGTGCCAAAAGACTGGATAGGCACAAGGTACCTGGCACGCACCATTTGCACCTAAACGACGGTAACTCAGTGGCGGGTATAATTCTGGACTTTTTGGAATCATAGAACAGTTTTAATAGTTGGAAAAATCGATATAGTATTAATAATTAATTTATTACATATTTATGTATGGGAAATTTTTATTTTAGCTAGTCCAAGCTTTGACTAAAAACTAAAAAGACATATCTACTTTTGTTGATTTATACTGTATGATATGCCGAAAAAAAAACGGCGTCAAAGAGGGCTGGGGAATAACACCATTTTTAAAACCAAACTTATCACCACTTGTTATTTCTGACAGTCTTTGACGCCATTTTTTTCAATCGTATGGTAGATATTTTAAGTATTCTCACTACAAATTGTATTTTAAAAAAAGTTTTAACATTGGTATGTCAGATTGACATATTTCACAATATGTTTAAGACACACATATGTCAAATTGACAGTTCTGACAGACATTGATTACATAGTGGTAAAGGAATTATAAATCGTAAGTTTTTTAAAATTATTTTTGATAGTATTTTTAGCATTTCATACCATATGATACTTAATAGGTACCGTATGATCGAAAAAAAAACGGCGTCCAGTTTGCTTGGAAATGAGCATCGATTATTCCCCATATAATTTTACATATAAAATGACAGCGATCTTCATTTCGTAGCCATCACTGACCCCGTTTTGTTTTTCGATCATAAGGTGTTTTATGTTAAAGTAATATGGATAATGCTTTTAACTGTTTTTTTTATATACTAAATGAAAACAATATAACAGTATAAACATGTATCTTCCTTATAAATTTGCACAGCAAAAAAGTAACTACTTATAAGTTGTGATATTTGTTAATGTTAGTTAGTGTAGCACAATTTGTTATGAGGTAGTACATTATTTCAGGATATATTTGTATTCGAACAATAATTTTCTATTTATTTTAATATTTATCAAGTTCTTTTTTTTTGTTAATAAACCTACCTTGTGAATAAAATAAATCATTTTGTTATTTACATTGTTTTATTTTGGTGATAAATCTTTAAAGTTCTGTCTACACTTCACGTTTTGCTTGTCAGTTGAAACGGAGACGAAGACTATTCATTTCAAGTACACCCACGCTTTTACTTGATACGTTTTGATTGAACGGATAAGACTGACAGATAAAACGTTACGTGTAGTCTGGGCTTTAGATATACATAACAACGGAACGCTGGTAAGTAAAGTCTGTCCAATTACTCGGGAAGATTGAAGTCGACGATATTCAAGAAATGACAGAAAGCAATTTACCTGTGAATAAAAATGACAGACACAACTGTCACTGTCCTGTATATCCCTCATCGTTGGATATGCTATGTAGTTTTTCTACTTTTGAAATAAAATGACAGACAACAAAACTGTCACTGTCAAATATTCTTATGCTAGACAGACTCTAGCAAGGGAAAGTCTTAAATCTTAAAATGACAATCTGCAAAATGTTTACTAAAACATCCTTTACCTATACAGACATAAGATTCCAGTTTTTTTCAGTATTTTTTTAGATGTAAATTGCCTCAGTTAACTTATTTTTGTTCCAAAAATATGTAGTAGTTCTGTGTATGAAATATTGGGACACCCAATATATTATTACTTTTTTTTGTCTTGTCTAAAATATGAATAAATATGCCATTTTGTTATTTATGTTGTTTTATTTTATTGTTAATAATAATTAATTTTACACAAACACTGGTAGGTGACAATGCCAAGTCTTAACTGGCAAAGAAGGATTTTTTTGATAGTCTTGACAAACCTTCTCCCATTGAAGTTCTGTAGGGCTAAATATCGCCTTCGACCTAAGGTTTCCTTTTACAAACTCTAATTCCTAAAAATAGACTATAAATCCACTTGGTTACTTTAATTTTATCCAATAAATTGTACCTTTAAGATTTGTTTGTTTCTTATTTGAGCTTCTTCAAACGAAATTCTAATCGGTTGACTTTTGTTTAAATGAGACAAAGATGCATCTTGTTTTGTTGTATTACTAATTGCAGGAAAATACAGAGACAATTTAAGAAAGTTTGATATAAAAAATACTCTTTAATACTATAATTATATAAATTTCACTTACTCCGTTTTTAAAATTGACTGAATTTTTTCCTCCTGTTTTTTGTATTTTATCAAAACCTCTTCTACTTCTGGAATAACCATTTTTTTATATGAATTTTTATTCTATTTGGCAAAAAAGAAATGTAATTTTACTTTTTGTTTGTGTTTCAAATTTGAAGTTTAAAGGATACAAGTGCCATCTATTGAGAAATTTACAAAAACACTTGATATTAATTGATTTTCTAGTATATGCAACTAAAATTACAAGAAATAATTGGTTATTAATAAATATTATATTATAAATTTAAAATTATAACTTATTTATCAAAAAATTTGGGTTTAAACAAAGAATATCTTAATTTACATAGTTTATAATAAAATTAACTTCTAATCTAATTTTCTTGACAAAATGGCGAAGGTGGCTATTTTAAAATCAGGAGACAAGAAATAAATTAAAATAAAATTTTAGATATAATTTTTACTCTAATACCGTATGATCAAAAAAAAACGGCATCAGCGATGGCTATAAAATAAAGATCGGTGTCATTATATATGTAAACTTAAATTTATATGAGAAATGTCATCGATTATAATTTCCCAGCCAACTGGACGCCGTTTTTTTTTTCGATCATACGGTATAATAAATAAAGTTATGTAGGTTTATAACTAAAAATCCTTTTCTTCAAATTTGTATTTATAATTTTTGACATATTGTATTGTTTAAAAATATAATAAATTAATTTTTCATTATATTTGTGTAGTTTTTTCATTGTGTTTTTTGATTTTATTGGATATTTAAAGCTGAACGTCAAAATATTTGTGAAATATATTTTTTCTTTATAGGAATATGTATAAGAATGAACTTAAAAGCAACAAAATAAAATTTTTACTTTGATGAAAATTTTTATTTAAACATTTTGTTTACAAAGAAGTAATTTAAACGTATTTAAGATACAATTACTTGTTCTAAACTTGTTTAAACAATTGGTTAAAACATGTTTAAAACTCTGTTTGAATCACCTCTATCTAATATTATTTTCTAGAAAAAAATTTTACTCATTAATAGAAAAAAGTACCTAACTTTGAGAACAGAACTAATAAAAATATGGGACTTCATTACATAAATATAATATTCTTAATTATAATTCGGAGAAGTACTATCTCTAAAAATCGAAATAAGTAAACCATAAAAATAATAAAAACAATTTTAAAATCATTATATCTTGACAAAATGGTGAATGCGCTTGTTAAAAACATTTGAAGAAAATGTTTATATTCTAAACCTATGCAACCAATTATACATAATTAATTTAATAATTATTTTTGAATATAATAAGCGCTTGTATAAAGCAATTATTACTTTTATTCACAAATTAGGATCATATATTCGTTTTAAATCATAAAGGTCTTATAGATTTAATGCAGTTATAACAAGAAAATATATTAATTATTATTTGAGGTCATTGAAGCATTAAACATTAAAATAATTACTTGGAAAAACAGCTACACAGTAGGTAGGTATAGATAACTCTTTAAAAAATTGTAAAAAAACAACCACAAGTTGTAACATACTTTTGTTTATCGCGAAAAAAAAATGATAAGCCCTATCGCTTGGAAAGGTATGGGAATGATATACCTGGCGTTTAATTTTTAATGATATGTACGTATACCTTTCTTTTTTTAAGGTATATAATCTAAACGAAACTATAAACAGAAATAGAAAACAATCGCGCGACATTTTAGCATAAAGAATTATGCGTGTTGATAACATTTTTCGTTGAAGTCACTTTGACTCGAGTACGTATTTGAATATGAATGGTTTTCTGTGTTATAAGTGTATATAGTTCACCTACAGTAAGTATAATTTAGTTAAATTCATTATTTACGAAATTTTATTGCTATAAAAACCTATAAAATTGATTTAATACTTATAACAAAGTAATTTAGATTGTTTTATGGCAAATAATAAATATATTTTTTAAAAAATTCATGCAAACCTACATGGAGAATAACGTAAGGTAGTGGATTTTGAAAAAAAAAACCGTGAGATTGTTAAAATTTTTATTGTTTATTGCTCGGTGGAGAACAATGGCTAATTTCAAGCTGTCGTTTTCTATATACTGAATTTTTTAGTGTAGTCAGTGATGTTATAATGTTTAAAACAATTTTATATTTTCTTCCTGAAATATAATGAAATTAATTTTCAAAAATAGATACTGTAAGTAAATTTTTCAGCCATTATCTTCATTTTCATTTATAGCAAGTAGGGTTTTACTTATACACGTTTATACTTTTGACACCAGTGACTTGAATAAGGGTAGTTATTCTTTCTTGATCTACAGCTTGATGAATATCAAGCTGTAGATCAAGAAATATATATATAAATTCGGGTCAGAACGTCCTACGACGTTGTCCGATGCCTAACTTCCACCCTGTGCGATTTTCCCATCGATCTTCGGTCAGATTTTTTTCGCTCATCGACCTTCTTATTCCCTCCATCCATGTTTTCTTATGACGTCCTCTCTTTCGTTTACCAGGTGGTATCCAATGAATGACTTGTTTTGGAATTCTTTCATTGTGCATTCTCTGAACGTGGCCGTACCATATTAATTGTTTTTGTTCTATATCATTTACTATTGTTCCCTCTATTCCCATCTGTTGTCTAATGTCTTCATTTCTGATCTTATCCCTCCGTGAAATTCTCATTGCTCTTCTAATCGCGTCCATTTCTGTTGTCTCTAATTTCCTTTTATTCCTTTCAGTGAGTCGCCATGTTTCACATCCATAGAGTAATATGCTTTTAACTATAGTGTCTCGTATATATTATATTTCCTGTTTTTTCTAATTTCAGTGCTCCATAGAATGCCATTTATGCATCTGATAACTCTTCGTGCCTGTATTACTCTGTTGTTTATTTCTCTATCGTCCGTTCCATCTCCTGTAAATATCGATCCCAGGTACCTGTAATCTTCACATGCCCTAATTTCCATATTATTGTCTAAAATAAGATTTTCTGTATTAGCTCCAATTGGAAGGTATTTTGTTTTTTCTGTATTTACTGTGAGACCCCATTTAGCATATTCTTCAATTATTTTCCGCACCATATATTCCATGTCATCTTTGTCATTTGCAATTATGGCCTGGTCGTCTGCAAATTGCAAGGTGTATAGGCATATGTCATTTAGTTCTATACGCATTCCGTTACATTTTCTTAACCATAGATGTAAGGCCTTGGCAATATAAATTTTAAATAGTGTTGGGGATATACAACAACCCTGTCGGAGCCCTTTAGTGATAGAAATTTCCTCTGAGAGACCGTTGACCGTTTTTATTTGTGATTTTCCTCCATGGTAAAGATTTTGTACAGCTTTTATCAGAGCTGGCGTTAATTCTTGATTAGTGCAATACTTCCCATAATTTTATTATTGGCACTGTATCATATGCTTTTTGTAGATCGATGAATGTTATATGAACTTCCTGGTTCATTGCAGATTTCTTCTCGATGATCTGTTTCAATGCAAAGATATTATCTGTACATTATCTTCCGCTTATGAAACCATTCTGCTCTTCTTCTTCGTAGCTGGAGTATTCCTCTTCAATTAAGTTCCTCAGTATCCTTCCATAGAGGCGACTCATAGTGCTGGTGACCGAAATTCCCCTGTAGTTATTGGGATCCTTCCTTGAGCCCTTTTTATATATAGAGGAGATCTATGCTTTTTTCCACTGTTCAGGTACTGGATGACCATTTAAGCACTGGTTAACTATGTTTGGTTGCGGTTCTAAACAGTTTTTTGCTTCCAGATTTTATGAGTTCCGCATATAAGCAGCAAAACTAAATCTCTCGTATTTCCAATGTCACTAATTATCTCATGTAGATCAAGAAAACCCTTTACAAAGTCTTAGGCTAAGACCTACTTGAAGAATTTGATTGAAGAAAGAAGGTGTTTGCGGCACTGGAACCATACAACAACCAACAATATTTTTATATGTAACTATATTCAACACAATATAGTAACGTCTTGGCTGACTTGATTTAAGTGATCAAAATGTTGCTTTTACCTCCATTTGTTCGCTTACATCGAGTTAGAAATAGCGTTAAAACGTCAATTCTCAACTAAAACACGTCATCGCTCAACTCAACAATCATCTGTACTGTATTTTAATATTTGCCGAGTTTCTGTTACTTTCTGAGCAATGTCTAAGAGAGTAATGCTCTTAAAGATCACTAAATGTATAGTCTATCCAACAAGGGAATATACAGGGTGTTTCAAAACAAATGCGAAAAACTTCACGGGGCGATTCCTTGTTCAAAATAATGGATAGTTTGCTTCATAAACGTTGGGTCAAAAGGCAACCATTAGGGAGATATCGCGGTACAAAGATGGCGGAAAAATAATGTTTTTATTTTTTATCTTGAAAACGAAAAACGATAGAATAATGAAATTTTATGGGAGCATTATTGTTATGAAAACACACTTTCTGGTAATTTTTTCACTTTTTTAAAATGCGTAGAAGGGGTTGAAATAAACTACCACTATCATTCTTGTTAACGAAATTTAAAGAAAAATCTTATCAAACACATGCAAAAAAAATTAATTTGGATAGCTTGGTTTGTTCAGAAACTTTTTTATCTCTTGTGTTTCTTTGATAAAACTCGCCGATTTGAAATTAAAAAATAAAATGTAAAGCATTACATGTCAGGATAAAAACATTTTTAGATAAAGAATCTAGTGATAATAACGATAATAATAAGAATCTAGATAATAACGTATTGCAGTAGAGTAATGTCAATAAAATAATATTAGAAACATCCCCTAAAAGTGACAGCGACCGACTAGATTTTATCCTAAAAAATTAGAGCAGCCCAATAGATTCTCTATCTAAAAATGTTTTTTGTCCTGACATGTAATGCTTTACATTTTATTTTTTAATTTCAAATCGGTGAGTTTTATCAAAAAAACATAAGAGATAAAAAAGTTTCTAAACAAACTAAACTATCCAAATTAATTTTTATTAATTTTTTTGCATGTGTTTGATAAGCTTTTTTTTAAATTTTGTTAACAAAAATGATAGGGGTAGTTTATTTCAACCCCTTGCACTCATTTTAAAAAAGTGAAAAAATTACCAGAAAGTGTGTTTTCATAACAGTAACGCTTCCATAAAATTTCATTATTCTATCGTTTTT